ATGTAAATTATTTTATCATTACAGTAATTATTTTTATTGTCACTAAATTTTATTATTATTTTTATATAACACAGCTTTGTAATTCACATGTCATATATTATAATCCCGACGTGTTATTTGAATAACGTTTTGAGGTTATTTCGTCGCTCATTTAATACATTATACGTCGAAATATGGAGATTGATGTATTGTGCAAAAAATTTCAAGGAGAAATCATTTGTGACTATGAATCGGTTTATTCTTTGTTCGACTCTTGACACGGACAAAAAGCAATCTGCTTATTATAAATTATTCACTGAACGTCGTATAAATATTGCCGATATTGAATTTATTACTGAATCCTTATGAAGGAATATTAAATGAATTTTCCGGGAAAATTGTATCCTATAGAGAAAATTCATTGATTGCTTCTTGGAAAGGTATCTTTCCTCGAAATGTTAAATACCTTGACATTTTTTATTTACTTGATGAATTATAAAATCGTAAAACTTCTGTATTGAATAATTTGTAGTAAGGTTATGTTACATATGTGTAGATATATATATTATGTACAAATATGTGCAATACATGTTTTGTGTAAATATTGTCAAATACCCATTTTATCAACAAATACGTGAAAATATGTATGTATGTGCAAATATTCTACTCCATTTTAATTTCAAAATTGCTTGTTTTTAAATAAAATGCTGAAAATCCTAAACTGATCATTAGATCACAGTAGAGGATTAAAGTTTGCTACACTCACAAATTATTTTAGTTAAAGAAATTTAATATTTAATATTAAATTACCATTATAAATATACTATTAAATTATTTCAGTTATAAGAAATTTAATTACACAGAGTTAAGTTAGAAGAATACTTAACACGTTGACTGTCATGGCGGCCATTCGTTTAGTGTTGCAAATTCAATTAAATTAATTATTTACTGGAAAGGCGAACGAAAGTAGATATTTTAGAACTCTTAATATTGAGACAATGATATAGACAGTAACAGATTAAAAAATTAATTTGAAAGATTAAGTATTAAGAATATAAGAGCAAGTCTTGTATTCTTTTATAGTGTCTGACCATGTACTTACATCAATTTTCACTATGGCAGTCAACGCGTTAACGGAGAAGCTACATCGCATACGCAAGTTTTCTAGATCGACCATCGGGAAAATCAATTAAATTATTATAAAAGATTGACGTCAATTTGTGACACAATGATGCACTAACCTATATTGGTAAACGTATTTTCCTGCTCCGACACATCATTCTTTAAAATCGTATCGGAAAGCATTAAAATGTAAAATGTAATAGTAATACTTTAAAACCAGCGGACTATGTAAAACTTTAACCAAGACAAAAATAATTGCATTTCAAATCGTGACATTTAACATAATCTACCATGTAGGAAATATTCCTGGAAATATGGTGGGTGCATAATTCCAGTGTCTTCAAATTCGCCGCCCACGGGAAACAAACTACGAATTAGAATCGCTGAATAGCATTAGTGCAAAGTTTGTAAACCTCGGTTAACGTTTAGTCCAAAAATTACAATGCGTCAGAAATAAATTTGTAAAACACAATCAGATTTTTGTAAAACATAATGTGATGGAGTGTGGTTTCATTTTTTATTCGCTGAATACGCGGTGTAATTAATGAACCAGTTACTTTAATATAAATGTTAATGTGTTAATAAATTTCGTGTTCGCTGATTTATATGAAACCGCAGTTTATTTCTCATTTTATTGTCTGCATAATTAGTTATTTGCCTTACGCGAGTATTACTGCCGGCCTCGCAATTTCACCACCGGTTTTCAAAAACACTTTTGCTGAGAATGCATTGCATAATAAATTTTGAATTTCATTTTCACGTATTGACTTTTTAATCATTAATTTCCTTTATTTTGGTTTGTTTATATCAATCAATTCGTGGTTTATTCGATTAAACACGTTTCGGTATGTTTTGTGATAAAATGTGGTTTTTTTAAATTTAGGAGTGTAGAATTTGGAGATTTAAAAATATAGAAATTTGGAAATTTGAAAGTTGGAAGTTTAAAATTGTAGAAATTTACATATTATTAAATTCTCTAAGATTCAATTTATCAAACCTTCTAAATTTAAAAATTAAATTTAAAGTTTTTTGATTCACGAACTTGTAGATTATTATAATTGCAATTTTCAAAATCTAGAAATTTTACAATTCAAAATCTTTAAATACACAAATATACATTTTCAGGTTCATAAACTTTCAAATGTAGGAATGTAGAAATCCAAAAGCTTCAAATTCACAAATTTTCAGATTTATAAATTTTCAAATTTGGGAATTTAAAGGTCCTAAAACTTCAAATTGACAAATGTACAACTCCATAAAATTTTAGCTTCATAAATACTCAAATTTAGGAATTTAAAGATCCAGAAGCTTCAAATTCACAAATATACAAATCCATAAAATTTCAGGTTCATAAATTTTCAAATTTAGGAATTTAGCTACAAATTTACAAATGTTCAAATGCAGAAATTTTCACACTCATAAATATTCAAATTTAAAAATACCAAATTTACGAATTCACAAACTTATAATCTCTCAAAGTTTCATCTCAGTGGCTTCCACATTTTCGATTCGAACTCCCCCTCGATTTCAAATAGTTGCACTCTGTAATTTCACCAAATTATTGCCTGCAAGATCTTCGACAATTAAGCTAACTTCGTAGCAAATCGGTGTTCCGAAGATCTTGCATTCCCCTTTTACAACACCCTTCCATAATCACCAATGTGCAAACTTTCAAACTTCACTACCGTAGCAGAACCTCCTAAAACTTCCCAAAACGAGTATTAAAACAAAGTTCATTTTCAGTCTTTGGAAGATAATGAATCCACTAAAAACCCACAGGAGCACAACGGCATTTTTACCGTCGAAAAACGTGTGACAGGGGTGTGAAAGCATAAATAGTTCTTTTTAATAAACTACATTAGTCCTGATACATGACCTGTTACGCGTCGCGTGCAATCAATGCGTCTCGACACTCGCGAGCGTCCGTCGCGTCGTTTAACATGAAAAATAAAACGCGCGCTTTCGCTTTCCGGCGACGTTTCGCCCTTGCTCTCGTTCTCCAACCAGTCGTAGACAAAAGACTTTGTTCTTCGACAATGCGAAAAAAGAATGAAAAGTGTCGAGGTGTTTAGAAACGACCGTTTGATTCGGGACAAAAGCGCGAAGAAGATAAAGTTCGTCGACAGAATGGAAGGTTGCCGGGAATCGAGGAAATAGGAACGGAAATCGGTCGATTAAAACGGGATCAAATCCATCTCGAAATCACGTTGCATACGTGGCTCGATTCCCACGGCAAAACCGCAATTCCACGGAAAGACGAAGGGACTACGGGCTCGTTAATTAACAGTGCCATCGATTCGGCTATTTTCAACTGGCGAAAAATACATTTCGGCCGTTTTGTATCCGATTCGTGCATACGTCGAACACGGTGAATTTTACAGGAATTTATGTGAAAATTTTCTTCTACACTTTGAGGTTCTAGTGCTTTATCAGATCTAGTGCTTTAAAGATGCAGTTCAAAGGTACGACATCTTATTGGTCATCTTAAAGCATCGTGAAGATTTGTCAGTTTATTTGACGAAATAGCAGAGAAGTCACATAACAGCATCTGACTCTAACATTTGATACCTAAACATCACATCTACATAATAGCATTTGAATATCAGATCTACACCTACACATCAGATCTACATAACAGCAGTTGAACATCAAGACCTCATAGCAGCTCATACACATCAGATCTACATAACACTTTAACATCAAACACACATAACACCTGAAGATCAGATTTACATAACTGTACTTGAACATCTGATTCACGTAACAGTACCTGAACATCACTTCTGGGTAAATGCAATTAAACATCAGATCCACTAGGCTAGACCTAAACATCAGATCCACATAACAGCACCTGATCTTCAAATCCATTTAACAATCTAATTATCAGATTTGCATAACATTACCTAAACAGCAGATTCACATAACAGCACCTGATCATCAGATCCACATAACAGCACTTGAATATCAAATTTTCCTAACGGTACCTGAATATTAAACCTCACATAATAATCCCTAAATATCAGATTTATATAGCAGCACCTGAACACCAGATTCACATAACAGCACCTGAACAACGAATCTATATGACAGTACCTACATATTACTTCTACATGATTGTAGACATCTATGTGGATCTAAACATCAGATTCACATAGCAACCTAGATATCAGATTTACATAACTTTATCTAAATATCAGATTCACATAATAACACCTGAACATTAGATCCACATAACAGCACTTGAATATCAGATTTGTCTAACGATACCTGAACATCAGACTCCACATAATAGTTCCTAAATATCAGATTTATACAACATCTAAATATCAGATCCACAGAATAGCACCTAAACATCAGATCTAGGTAACAACACCTAAGTATTAGATCTACATAAAAGTACCTAAACAACCTGCGTAAGAACATCTGATCATGCGATCACATACGATCACATACTAGCACCTGAGTGAACGGATAATTTAAATTATTCTAAGAATCAATGCTGCAAATCAATGCAGTAAGTGAAACGACACGTTTTTAAAGTATATACAGTAGAATGCGTCGAAGTTGAGACGTCAGGTGATGTCATTAAGCGAACGATAATAAAAAGTTAGCTGCAAGAATCTGAAATATGCAGCGCAGGTTTGCAGCGTCAGTGAGCTGCAAGAACCATAAGTTTTGGTATATCGCGGAAGTATTGATTCCAGAACTTTTGATCAATCGTTTTCTTACAGCTTCCGATGAGCACCGCAAAAGTCTCGAAAGTTTTACACGGACCAAGGACGCAGAAGAAGTTTTAAAGGATCAGAACAAGGAAATATCGCGAAACACGGTAGACGGTGGGCAAAGATGAGGATAGAAGCGCGCGAAAGTGGTTTTTAAGAGAAGCCGGAATGACCAACCTGTTACTTGAAAGACGGAAGCCTCGGGAGCCGGGAAATGCGTGCGTTCTTTCGGGCGCACTCTCGCGTTCAGTTGTCCCTCTGAATGGATACACGTGCTCTCCGTGTATTTTACGATCGGACGCGTGAGCAGCGTGACACGCGTGTGCCCGATCCTTGTGTTCCTCTGTTCTTCACTTATATTTCGTGCGCGGGCACATACGTTTACGTGTGAACGCACGTTAGGTTCCTCCGCGATCGGAGGCTGCGCGCATGCTCGCGTCAAAAGGACACGCAAAGGAAAACTCGCGGGCAAGCTGCGGACTCGGTGATGCGAGAACGGAGAAAGAAAAAAAATAGAATCACCGTGTTACCCAGAGCGACGATATCGTCGGGCAGGCTGCCCGGCTTGCACTGCCCGGGTCTCCTGTTTCTCCCACCGTGCGGACCACCCGTCTCACCCTCATCAGATTCACATAGCAACCTAGATATCAGATTTACATAACTTTATCTAAATATCAGATTCACATAATAACACCTGAACATTAGATCCACATAACAGCACTTGAATATCAGATTTGTCTAACGATACCTGAACATCAGACTCCACATAATAGTTCCTAAATATCAGATTTATACAACATCTAAATATCAGATCCACAGAATAGCACCTAAACATCAGATCTAGGTAACAACACCTAAGTATTAGATCTACATAAAAGTACCTAAACAACCTGCGTAAGAACATCTGATCATGCGATCACATACGATCACATACTAGCACCTGAGTGAACGGATAATTTAAATTATTCTAAGAATCAATGCTGCAAATCAATGCAGTAAGTGAAACGACACGTTTTTAAAGTATATACAGTAGAATGCGTCGAAGTTGAGACGTCAGGTGATGTCATTAAGCGAACGATAATAAAAAGTTAGCTGCAAGAATCTGAAATATGCAGCGCAGGTTTGCAGCGTCAGTGAGCTGCAAGAACCATAAGTTTTGGTATATCGCGGAAGTATTGATTCCAGAACTTTTGATCAATCGTTTTCTTACAGCTTCCGATGAGCACCGCAAAAGTCTCGAAAGTTTTACACGGACCAAGGACGCAGAAGAAGTTTTAAAGGATCAGAACAAGGAAATATCGCGAAACACGGTAGACGGTGGGCAAAGATGAGGATAGAAGCGCGCGAAAGTGGTTTTTAAGAGAAGCCGGAATGACCAACCTGTTACTTGAAAGACGGAAGCCTCGGGAGCCGGGAAATGCGTGCGTTCTTTCGGGCGCACTCTCGCGTTCAGTTGTCCCTCTGAATGGATACACGTGCTCTCCGTGTATTTTACGATCGGACGCGTGAGCAGCGTGACACGCGTGTGCCCGATCCTTGTGTTCCTCTGTTCTTCACTTATATTTCGTGCGCGGGCACATACGTTTACGTGTGAACGCACGTTAGGTTCCTCCGCGATCGGAGGCTGCGCGCATGCTCGCGTCAAAAGGACACGCAAAGGAAAACTCGCGGGCAAGCTGCGGACTCGGTGATGCGAGAACGGAGAAAGAAAAAAAATAGAATCACCGTGTTACCCAGAGCGACGATATCGTCGGGCAGGCTGCCCGGCTTGCACTGCCCGGGTCTCCTGTTTCTCCCACCGTGCGGACCACCCGTCTCACCCTGGCTCTCCCTGGTTCTCCTTACACCCCCGTCTCCCAAATCCCCGCCACTGTACGCGCCTGCCGAAAAAGCTCGCCTACTATACCCCACCTTGCCAACCTTCGCATCCTTCGAGCTCTCTGCACGACTCCCTTCCGCTCCTTCAACCCCTTTCCAACCGTGACTTCGACTCAGACTATGAAACCAACTTTGAACACCGTGTCTTTCCCACTCCTTTCTTGCTGTGAGAGTTCGACGAAGAGCAGCTCAGGGCGCAAGCTCGTCCTTCTCTCCCGGATAGGAGAAGGGAAAGATCCTCGGGCAACCAGGAGAAGTATCCTGCGGAGAGCCTGAGACGCTCCTTCGCGCGCGATTACACGCACGTGGGCTAACTCGGGGTAGCTTATTTTTGTGCATACAAACTGTATTCTTGGTCACGTAAATTTGTAAATTCTCGAGTATCTCCACCTTTTAGTTCATGAAAGTTTCAAGTGTTCCTAATTCCTGAATCCTTAAATGGCTCTTGGGTACGTTCCAGACTTTTGAGGTTGTAGTTCTCATACCGACTTTCAACGTCCCCATATCCTGGAAGTTCTAAATGTCCAAATTTATAAATTACCTTATTCTCAGATCCTTGAATTTTCAAATTTTTTAATTCACAAAGATCGAAGTCCTCAAACCTCTCAAAATCTATGTATCTAAATTGACAAACTTCCACGTACCCAAATCTTTATACTTCAGAACTTTCACAGCCACAAAGTTCAAAATCCCTAAACTTCTGCAGTTCTAAACGTCCAAATTTATAAATTACCTCATCACTAAATTCTTGAATATTCAAACTTTTAAATCCACAAAATTCGAAGTCCTCAAACATCCAGAACTCTATGTATTTAAGTTGACAAATTTCCACATATTCAAATCCTTGTACTTCAGAACTTTTACATACACAAAGTTTGGAGTCTTCAAACTCCTGAAGTTGTAAATATCCAAATTTATAAATTACCTCATCCCCAAATCCTTAAATCTCCAAATCATCAAATCCACAAAATTTGAAGTCTTGAAACCCTTAAAATTCTACGTATCCATACTTCCAAATTTCCTCAACTCGAAATCTCTGGGTCTCCAAATTTTCAAATCCACAAACCCCTTGTGCCCTAAAAATCTAAATACACAAATCACCCCATCTCCAAATCCTTGGATCCCTAAATTAAATCCACAAATTTTGAAATTCTCAAAGTCCTACACTTCTGAATGTCCAAATTCTTAAATTATCATATTAATAGAATATAATAGAATTTCTCAGTGTGCTTATAATTATGTAACTAATTCATCTTAAAATATAATTTATTATCATCGTTACATGCAGTTCGTTAGTCATAATGCCTTTTGTTTACGAATTAGTAATTTTAACAAGTTTATTAAATTTGCATAGTATTCATAAACTAGTAACTCTTGTCACTCTATAATCATTTTAATTTAAATGGAGTTGCTAATATTTTCAATAAAAATCATTAATCACTACAGTATAAAATTTTTCTTTTCACATCCATGACCCTCAAAATTCAACAACTGCAAGTTACAATGCGACTTGTAAACAAAAAAGTGTATCAATACCCAAAAATGTATTGATGTGTAAAAATTAATTAAAGCCCCCCACTCGAAAATAATGGAGAAGCTTAAACCTCCACATTTGGAAAGTCGGATTCCAAGCACCCTAGTCAACACGTTGGTTAATTCGTGTCGAAGTTCAGACCGGTAACGAGAAGTGTACAGACGCGAGTCAGAGTTGGGGTTACGCTAAAGCGTAAGACAAAACGTTGCGTCTCAGGAGTCAATTGACTGGAAAATTCCAACAATGAAACCGGGTGAAGGTAACGTGAAAAAGGACGCACGAAATGGGTTTTTCAGGAGTGGCGCTTGTTGCTCGTAGAAAATAAAAACTCGTGACTGTATTATAGACACGCACACGAACGCGTTTGCACACACATTCGTGGCCCACCCCCTACGGTGACCCGCTTTGTAAACTGATGCGTTTTGCGTATGAGGAAGAGTTGGAATATAACAGGCTCCCCTATGCGCGATATATCGATCAATTCTGTGTAAACAATTGACACACGCGGCAGTTTTTCTCCGTGGTGAGGAAAAAAGTCATGCGTGAAAAAGCATTCATTCGGATGTAAATTCTTCGACTTGCTTCTATGATAATTGCACTTTTTCCAGGAACATCAAAAATTTACTGTTAAATACGAGAACTTTAATATCATGGCCATACGTGGGCGGAATTGGATGTTTCAATTTACTTTATAATCCATTAAAATGAACATACGACGCTGTTAACGTAATGCAGCGTTATCAAATATTCAAGTTTCATCGGACAAGTGAACAAGAGTACACTTTTGGATAAAACGGTTTTAGACTTCTCTGTAGTAACAAGAATCACTTTTGGTGAATGTCTTAAACTTGTATTTTGTATTCATTCGGTTTTCTTGTGTTTCAGTCGGTTTTATCGTGCTGTTATCGTACAGTTTAGCGTCGAGGCGATGATGCTTAGTTAGAGAGGAAAAATTGTTTGTTTAATTTAGACGAGATTATGGGAAGGAATTTGTCTATCGTTATAATTGTTATCATTGGCGTAAGTAGATAGGGATTGAGTGAGGAATGTAATATTAATTCGTACAATTCGTATTAGAAATATGGAAATTTTGAAACTTATAAAATTTCAAGGTTTTGAACTTGTTACCCCTAAAATTCCCAAAATTCCATGTTTTATCATTTTTAAATTCGTACATTTCTAGGTTTTCAAATTTAAACATTGTCAAATTTCCATGTTCCAAGAATTCTTTATGTATTTAATTTCTATGGTTTCAATTTTAAATTCCCAAATTATCAAATTTTCAGTGTTTCAAATTCCCTAATTCAAAAATTCCTAATTCTCAAATTTCCACATTTCCAAATTATCAAATTTCCAGTGTTTTAAATTGTCAAATTCTCAAATTCTTAAATTTCCAAATTTCCAAATTTCCAAATTTCTAAATTTCTAAATTTCTAAATCCTCAAATTATCAAATTTTCAATGTTTCAAGTTCCCTAATTCAAAAATTCCTAAATTCTCAAATTTCCAAATATTCAAATAGTAAATTACTACTTTTTTAGTGTTTCAAATTCTCAAATTTCCAAATTTCCAAATTCTTAAGTTCACATGTTCTCAAATCTCCAAATACCAATTTACCAAATTCTCAAATTTCCCAATTTCTCAATTTCTGAATTCTCTAATTTCTAAATTTCCCAGTTCTTAAGTTCTCAAACACCCAAATACCCAAATTCTTACAGTTCCCAAGTTTCTAAATCGCAAAATACCAAAATTCCGAACTCCCAAATTACCCAATACCCCAATTCCCCAAGCTCCAAAATTTTCAAGTTCCTAAGTTCCCTTTCCAAACATCTAAATTTCCCAATACCCCAATTCCTCAAGTTCCCAAATCTCTAAATACCACATTTCAAATTCCTAAATTCTCCAATTCCCCAAACCTCTAAATACTAAATTTCCAAATTCCCTAATACCTCAATTCTTCAATTTCCAAATTCCCCAATATCCCAATTCCTCAAACCTATAAATACCAAATTCCCAAATTCCCAAATTCCAAATCTCTAAATACTAAATTTCCAAATTCCCCAATACCTCAATTTTCCAATACCCCAATATTCCAATTCCCCAAACCTCTAAATACCAATTTTCCAAATTCCCAAATTCCAAATCTCTAAATACTAAATTTCCAAATTCCCCAGTACCTCAATTCTCCAACTTCCAAATTTCCCAATACCCTAATACCCCAATTCTCCAAATTCTCAAGTTTCCAAATCTCTAAATACCAAATTTGCAAATACTTAAATTATAAATTATTCAATTTTCAGTGTTTCAAGTTCCCAAATTCTCCAATTCCAAAATTACCAGATTCCCATGTGCCCAAGTTCCCAAATTTCAAATTTTGTCAAATACCCCAAATTTCCACATAACTAAATTAAAAATTGTCTAAATTCTTAACCTCCTGAATTCCCAAAACTTCATATTTCCAATGTTTTACATCAGCCAGCACCTAAATTTCTCCAAGTTAATAACTTGCTTTAAAAGTGACTTGCTCCAAAAGTTACAACAAAAATTAAATTTATTTAAAGAATTTTTGTCACGTTAATAATGCGTGTAATATAACAATGTAACACATTATTTATTACGAAATAGATCATTTCTTTTTACCAATATATCATTCAGGTGACTTTTGATATCGGCTTTTATTCCTTTGGCTTGAAACACACGAACAGTGTCGCAGAAAAATTATTACCAATAGAATATCATACAGATATGCCATCACATGGCACAAACTACCGAGAAACTTTTATGGAAACAATGATTTATTGTATGTTCATATAACATCTACCATATTTTACTGCATCTACGTGAAATTATTTACGATTTTGAAATTGATATCCGACTGTAGATGCATTTTTGTACTCAATAATTACATTTTATAGGCAGTATTATTACTTTTCGATATTTAATCAATTATTTTGACAATTGATAACTATTTCGTATATTATAATTCGTGAAGAGTATTTCTTATACAAATCTGCGTATCATAATTTAATAATTATTTCCGTTAAATTATATATTAAAGTTTCTTTAAAAATAATATTTTTAAAAGTAGTTATTTGTACTAATTTCTTAAATAATATACCGAAGATATTGATGTTTAGGAAATTATTAAATTTCATTTTAAATGACTATTATTTTTGGATTTTGAAGTGTTCATTGCAATGAAACACGAGTCACGTTTTACAAAAAGACGACACACGAATATTTCTTGAAACAATCTTTAATTTTCTTATTCGTTTACAATTCTAACTTTTAAACTATAATTAGCAAGACTAATTATAATTTTACAGGAAAAATTTGCAATAACAGTTGACTCATGGCTTCTTAAAATTTAAATATCCATATTTTTCTTTAAACGATTCCACGAATGATTTCTCCTATATTTTTATTCAAGAAGCAAATAAATATTCTACTGCTGCTTTATTTGAAATATGATACGCTTTACGTGCAAAGAAATTTGATTTAAGATTGAACGTGTATGTATAAAAGTCCACACGGAACAATGCGGAGGTTCCGAGGAAGTGGTACACGGATTATGGAACATTATACTTATTTTATTAGAATTGTATGCAGAGCAAACTGACATAGCCTGAGGAGATCTTGAGACTCTATTGAGACTTCAGCATCGTATGGTCGACTCGTAAGTCACTCCCCAAGGCATGTCTCGAAGGATCCCACAGGCTTTCCCTTATCTTGCATTGTAGAGTTGATCCACAGGATCCCCTCGAACTACCCTGAGGGTCTAAAAAACGCAGGAGTATCCTATAATAGCTTATAAAACAGCTCGAACCCTTAATCGCTACAAATTGCATTGTAACGTCACTATTAATTACAATTATTTTCTAAGAATGTATGCGAATGCAGCCAAATTAACTTACACCCACAAATTTTATATAAAAAAATTCGGAAAATGTCTGAGCTATGTTCTAATGTTATGTAAGTTTAAATATGCGTGAATGTACAAAATTAAATTAAACACTAATTTTTATTAAAAAGTCTCGAAAATGTCAAAGTTCTAATAATATAACATATTAGCATAAATATTATAAATATTATAATCAATATAATAATTAATAATATAATAATATAATAATAGTATAATGGTATAATTATTGTAATAAATATTATTACAAATATTATAATGGTGTATGAGTATTAAACATAACATAAATATAGTATAAATTTATTTACAGCATAAATACAGTACAATATTATTATTAACATTACTATATTACTATATTATTAATACTTATTACCTATTGTCATTACTATTACTTATTTATTATTACTTAGTATTACTACTCACTTTTATTATTTTGCAAATTTTTTCAGTATAATGATCAACAAAAATTTTTTTAATTACAAAAAGCTTGATACATTCAGTAGTTTCTTAGAAACAAATTTCTGAAAATTACATTATTTTAATTTTGTAGTATTGATGTATACCCTTTTACAGGAAAAACTCATAAGCACAATATAAAACATCTTTTTCTGTAATAATTGAATTTATTTAATATAATATTTCAATATTATATACATATTTTAATATATTAATTAGTAGGTAAATGAACTGATGTAGTGTAGAAAGAATTTCCAGGAAGTGCGTTTTACGATTCCATAGCAGTGTTACGTGCTTGAAAGGCGCAAGCGTTCTGATATTATTACATCACGATATCGAAGAGTTTTCATTTTTCGACTTTTTAATCGAAAGGTCAGTATTTAAAGAATTTAAAATTACATTCATCATATTTAAAATAATCTTTTAACATTGTAATTATGTTGAGAATGTAGATTATAAATTTTAGAGGTTGCAAACATACAATATCATAACCTTCATTTTTGTATAACAAAGTTTATAACATATATATAATTGTTGTTAAACAAGAGAAAACAGAACTATGTTTTTGATTAATAAAAATTACATATCTTTTTACATTATAGAATCGTGATTTCAAAGTTAATAAATTCAACTTTCTTTTTTGTTATAAGGTAACAGACTATAACGACGTAGAAGTCAACTACATACAAAAGGCACATATAAAAAAGAATTTTAAAAATGCAAGCTGGTGAATGGCAAGCCCAATATTCTTTCGACAATGCTTATTCAGAAATATTTCGCCGTTTAATTATTTAATTTTATTTATAGGTGAAAAAAGTGGTGAATTTATGCCAAAAGTTAATTTGGAAAAGGACAAGAGTAAATTGAAATACGCAGATTTGATGTATATGAAACAAGCGGAAGAAGTAGCTGTCTATCGAGCACTTAGATATAGGAAAACTCGTAATCGTTGTACAGTAGCAGGTATCTCTTTAGCTTGTCTTGTTGTAGGAATTTATGCGTACACAATACATGCTGTGAAGCAAGAAACATTTTTGGATGATCTGAATGAACCTGAAAAAATAATTGATCCAAATTCAAAGAGTAATTTGTCTTAAGCTCGTAGAATTTGAAAGTGTTGTGTGTTATTTACACAAGAAAAGAAGAAAGTGATGCGATTAATATAAATGAATTGTAAACTATACAAATAATTATTAATAATAAATAAATTACATTAAGTTTTTATTTGTTATAAATATATATAAATAAGAACATAGAAATATGACTGCTATAAGATTACCACCTCTTCCATCCATAAAAGATGTATTGAAAATTTATAAGTTGAGAGCAATGAAACAACTTTCCCAAAACTTTTTATTAAATGATAACTTATCAGATAAAATAATTAAAAAGTCTGGAAACCTTGCTGACTGTTACACGGTAGAAGTTGGTCCTGGGCCTGGTGGACTAACAAGATCAATTTTAAAACAGCATCCAAAAAAATTAATTGTTATAGAAAAGGATACAAGATTTAAACCTACATTAGAAATGTTGGTAGATGCTTATGCTGCAGTTAATGGTGAAATGGAAGTTATTTATGATGATATCATGAAGATAGATATGAGTAATCTTTTTCCTGAGACTGTTAAGGTAGCTTGGGAAGACAAATCTCCTAAGATCAGATTAATTGGCAATTTGCCATTTAATGTATCAACACCTCTGATAATAAAGTGGCTACATGCAATTTGTGAAAAAAGAGGTCCTTGGACATATGGAAGAACTAGAATGACATTGACATTTCAAAAAGAAGTGGCTGAACGTATAGTAGCTGAACCAATGACTGAACAAAGATGTAGATTATCTGTAATGGCACAAGCTTGGACACGTCCAATATTACATTTTATTATACCAGGTACTATATTGATTTTAATGTTTGCTTTAAAATTAATTTACTTCTTTCAATTTTGTTGAATATAACATTTATTCTACTTTGTGGTTTGAAAAAATAGGCACTGCTTTTATTCCTAAACCAAAAGTTGATGTTGGTGTTGTATCATTTGCACCTATGGTTATACCACGTACACAACATGAATTTAAAATTTTTGAAAAAGTAACACGACAAATTTTTGGTTTTCGTCAAAAATACTCTATACGAGGGATTGAGTAAGTAAAACTTCTATGAAAATATTGTTATATCATCAAAATATTACTGCACGTATCGTTCTTTTAATTTTTTAGGACATTGTTTCCTCTGGAATGTCGAGTTGAATTAGGACGGAAAATGTATGAACTTAGTAATTTGGAACCAAAATTAAGACCAACACAACTTACAGTAGAAGATATCGATAAACTTGTTACCGCATATAAATATTTACTAGAAAAACATCCAGAAATTAGGTCGTATGAGTATCGTTCTTCTCAACGAATTGTACCACTATCGAAAACAGCAGATCTACAAGTTGAGGATTGTATGGAATATGCTCTAGAGGAATTAGAATGTACAAATTAAGTAATAAATAAAGTAAATTTCATCCGATGTTTACAATATTTTATAAGTAATGGAACTTTACAGGATCGTTTTGACATAAAATTCAGTTTTTGAAAATATGAAACAACTGAAACACAATCACGCTGCTTGAAACTTTCCCAATATATTTCCACTTGTAGTTTTCAAATGGTTAAAAAAACGAAATATATCCATAAATTATTTAATATTCGTGATAATCTTGTTAATAATTACATAGAATGAATGCTTTTATTAAAATATGTTTCATCCTATTCACTACTCTCGTCACTATAAACTTTCAATCTGCTTAATTTATATTTATATCCTTGAAGATAATTAAAAAATTAATATGTTAATTACTTCCACAATTGCAGCATAATTTGTTTCAACCCTTAAAAATTTTAAATAACACAACAATGTATTAAAACAAAGTTAAACTTTAAATTGTAAAATGTTAAAAATTACAATTTCATTATGAAAATAGCATTAATCGGTTCAGCTGTTTATAATATAAACATACTAATTGTAAGTAGAGCGTAGAAATGTAAATGAGAATATACAGGAAATTACATCTGGAACTAGTGAATTTACATATCTATAGTATATATATAATAGGCAGATAATACATATATTGTAAAAATACAGATAAATGAGACACTCAGTAGAAGAAAAAAATTTAACAAATTATAAATCTAAATCACTCTTCTAAATCTAGATCTTCTAATTCCTCTTCTAAGCCTTCTAAATCTTCTTCTTTAAACAAATTTTCATTGATTGCTAATGCAGCTGCACCTTCACCAACAGTAACTACTATGGAAATATAAATTATTATTAGCAAAATGTTATAGTAATAATAATAATGTTGATATTAATTTATTCATACCTGTAGAATCTTCATTATTTGTAACTTCATCTTTTTTGAGTCGATCTACACCGGCAACAGTTATTCCAGATGTATCTATTTCACTCGGTTCAAAAGCTAACCTGTCCATATCAAGTTCTCTATATTCAACCCTTTCTTCCCCTTCCTCTTCTTCTTCACGTACATAACTAGATATTGCTTCATCTCCATCATCAATGCCTATATAATTTAAAAGATTAATATTTATAACATTGTACCAATAAGTACAATACAAGTCATACAAATATATATAATTTATCTATCTTATAAATTAAAAATGAAAATACCATCTCCTGCTGCAAGTTCTGGATTGAAATAGAACATTTCTCTTCCAGATATTCCAACTTGTCTACCAGCTTTATAATCATTTCGTCTCTTTTCTTCATCCTTTAGAGCTTGTTCTTTTTTCTCCTTTAGTTTTCTTTTCTTCCATGCTAAGAATGTCTCTAATGTTATTTTAGTCTGTTAAAATATTTAATAAGTTACTGAACACTTCAAACAATTATATTAAATATAATTTTTACATAACATGATATGTGCATACATATGTACACATATATAGGTATAATCATATATAAATCATTCAATGAATTATTAAAATATAGCCTTACTTGATTTGGTCCTAAATTAGCTCTTTCCTTTTCAATTAAATCTTCTAATGAAATTTCATCCTTTTTATCCTCTTTCTTCTTATCTTTTTTAAGAACAAAACCAGGTGGTAGTGCATGCCTGTAAATACATTTTTGTCCCGATGGACATTCCCAGAACCAACCATATTTTGCCTTCTCTACTGCTTCCAAAAAATGTTTACAAATCTAAAATTTGAGAAGCATTTTGTCTTGTAACATTACAAACTTAGAAACAAAGAGATGAATACAAGAATATCCTACATAATGTACTTACAATATCAGTAGTTGGACGATTACCGCTACCATGCTTTTTCTCTACTACCTCTTTCAATTTATCCTCATCCCACTTGTCCATTGTATCAGTTTCCTTATCATCATCTCGCATATCACAGTATAAGGAACGTTTCTCTGCTTTCCTTTCTACACTTAAGTCGTGAGAAAATTTACATTTATCCCCTTTCGTACATTGTCCTTGTTTGAAGAACGCACATACTACCGATTTTGGATCAGTTCCTACAAAAGTGAAACAATTGTCATTCAAGTAAGTAAAGAGAAATAACAAAAATGAAACATACAACTGCTACAAAGATAATAATGGTATAACATGACTATAGGATACACTTGTTCTTTTAACTATATCTTTGCAAAAACCTTACTCATTTAATACCTTTATCTATCTTTTGCGTTTGCACAGGTTTAAATATAAGAGCTAATTCTTTTTGCTCCTTTAATTTCTTTTCTTTTTCAAGTTTTTTAACATTAGGATCTTCTAATTTCCGTGGGTTAACACCACCAGATTTTACCTGCTTCTCTACTTGTTGAATAAATTTCTGTTGTTTAGCACCCTTCTTATTCTTTATACCGAATGTCTTATCCTATAAAAGGAACATCATGGTATTGAAAAAACATTCAAAATAACAAATCGGTACGCGTATATCCATAAAATATGCAATTCGGTATTTGCAGGTTAAAAATGTAAAGTTATCATGTTTAAATACCTCAATAACTTTTTCTTTTTTCTTCTGCTCCGCCTTTTTGCTAGGAGCAGGTGCCTTTTTGGGTGGCATTTCATTCACTTCTTGTTATTTAGAAGTGTAAATTCCCAAAAATTTAATAATCAAATTTACTAATGAATGAAAATTCACCACCGATCGTGGAACGATTCATGTATGTATTTGTATGCGTAAATGTGGTAGTAAATTATGACCACAAAATATATATTATTTTGCAGATGCGACTAACGTGCTCCAATGCAAATCTGGCCTTTGGAAAAATGGCACATTATACCGAATTTATAAAAGGTTATTTCCAAAATCAATAAATAATGAACTTTTCAATAAACCAATTTCATTGCAGATAATAGAGTCTTGTATCCTCTAGTTATCACTTTTCCCGGGGAAGCGCAGATTTGCACTTGAGTTATAAATTATAAATTTCTATTTATTAAATAAATTTATTACAACATTGAACATGTACTTTTAGACTCATATATTTTTATCGTTATTTCATTTTCTACTTTTCCTCAATTTTGACCAAAATTGAAATATTTTAGTTCACTTGAAAAAGCATAAGGTAGCGCTAAAAGAGGAACACATTTTAGAAACAACTTTCCGTACAATCTTTCTTATACCTTTTGACGTTAGCACGAAGCGTGCTCGATCTCTCATTCACAGATTGTGGTTAGAATTGATTTTGTTTGATCTTTTATCAAAAGCAAAATGGCAAAATTTGATCTAACATCACGTATAGGACAGTATCTTGATCGACATTTAGTCTTCCCCCTTTTGGAATTCTTATCTGCAAAACAGGTACAATAAAAGATGGAATACTTTCATTGTATATGTTTGGTTATAACCAAAATGCATGATTATAATGAAACCTGTTATAACATATACAATACGGAACGTATACTAATATGTATGTATTGTATTTTTCAGATTTATGATGAGGATGAATTACTTCAAGCTAAATTGGATATTCTTAGCAAGACGAATATGATAGATTATACTATTGACATCAGAAAACAGCTTTATCCTAATTTAGAAGTGCCAGAGGTACAGATAAGTTTAAACAGAAAGATACAATTATGAATGACAAGTATGATTGAATATATTAATTATAGGAGTTGAAAGCTCGTCGTGCAGATGTTCTTCAAGAACTTAGTTATTTACAAAATAATGTATCAGTTGTTGTTGCGCTTATGAATAATGAAGAGGTGATGAAGAAGATGGAAAATATGCGAGATTCTAAAGCATTGAATAATTACCTTACGCAGGAATCTGATGTAAGTGTAACATGTTATATTATTATTTAATTTTATCTAATATTATATTAGTTTATAATAATAATTTTAATTTATGTTAACGTTTATAGTTTAGAGTCGAAATGATGGATAGTTTTGTAAAATTAGCAAAATATCGTTATGAGTGTGGCAATTACTCTGTTTCCACATCATATCTGTATTTTTATATGCTTATAATGCCACCAACAGATAAGGTATGAATATGATCAGTTTAACAATAATAATTCATAAGATTTTAATATTTCGCTTTTATAATAGGAAGCTGTGCTATTTTCAGAATTACTTAAATGTACTTTGGGGTAAATTGGCATCAGAAATTTTAGTGCAGAACTGGGAAACTGCATTAGAAGATGTAAACAAATTAAGAGAATACATTGATAGTAATGTTATAGGAAATTCTCTTCAAGTATTACAACAGAGAACATGGCTCATTCATTGGAGTTTATTTGTATTTTTCAACCATGTGAAGGGTAGAGATTTAATTATTGAAATGTTCCTCTACCGACCACAGTATGTTATTTTTATAGTAATTATTATGTAATATGAGAAGTATGATTAAAAATTAATCATTATCTGTAATGGTTACAGCTATTTAAATGCCATTCAAACAATGTGTCCACATATATTACGATACTTGGCTGCAGCCGTCATAGTTAATCGTTCTAGGCGATCTATACTAAAAGATCTTGTAAAAGTAATACAACAGGTCCGTAAAAGTGAAAGATTTTTCAAAATTACAATTAAGATATACAATTTTCATAATCATAAAACTACTTATTTTTTTACAGGAATCTTATACATATCGTGATCCTATTACTGAATTTTTGGAACATTTATACGTTAATTTTGATTTTGATGGCGCAAGACAAAAACTGCAAGAATGTCAAACAGTCGTATTTAACGACTTTTTCTTGATTGCATTATTAAGTGAATTTGTAGAAAATGCTCGTTTAATGATTTTTGAGACATTTTGCAGAATCCATCAGTGTATAAGTATTGGGTACAATAATTTTATTTTTAATTTTACAGTTAAATAGTATACCATATTCTTAAAACTTTCAACGTTTCACATTGTTACAGAATGCTTGCAGAAAAACTTAATATGAAAGCAGATGTAGCCGAATGTTGGATCGTTAACCTAATTCGTAATGCCCGGTTAGATGCCAAAATAGACAGTAAGTTAGGGCATGTTGTAATGGGAGGTCAGCCCGCTTCTCCATATCAACAACTAGTTGAAAAAATTGAAACTTTAAGTGTACGAAGCGAAGCGTTAGAGAATTTAATTGAACGCAAATTAAAAGCTAAAAACCAGGATCCTGTAAGTATAGTGTGGAACTAATCGAGGTTAGTATCATTCACGATCATTTTTCATATATTAATATTTTTTTCTTTCAAATCACTTAACTTATTCTCTTGAATTATATGATTTTTATTCAATGATTTCTTCTTTTAATATTTATGCTATTATACACTATGCGCTTTATTTTTATAAATTGAAAAGAAATAAATTACTGTACTATACTAATTCATGATTCATTTTTGCTTCTTAATTTTTAAAACCATTTTATTAACAACTAAATTGTATTTAAATTATATGATATTCAGTACAGAAGATATTTATTAACTAATGTATATGTATAGAACCAAACTATAACAATTTTTTTTTTTATTTTAAACATGATTTGATTTCTGTTGTTTTATACGTTTTATATGTTTTTATAATAAAAAACATTATTTTTTACAGTATCAAATTTCTTGGGCTCTGGATTTGTGACATCAGGATACAATGTACAGGAATACTGTCGTAAACGACGCTTAAACAAAGTGTAAACAAAACATCGACATTCAGATAATTCAGTTTTACATATTTAAAAAGTCCGTGACATATAATGAAATAAATATATTTTTATTCATACATTTTTATGAATAATCAAATCGAATGAATAAAAATATACATTATTACAAACACTACACACACATATATTATGTACATGCCTATGTTAAACATACAAAATGTACTTTTTCGTAATATATATCTACACGTTTCGTTTCTGAAAATGTGCAGGAAAAGAAATATAATTCAGAGTACATTTGTTTAAAGTTTATAATTCTGCAGCATTTCTAATTTGGAATATTTTAAATAATATTCTGTTAAAAAAAGTATTAAGTTTACAGAACAGAATATATCATCATTAGATTTTTACGTTAAAAATCTACCTTGATTTATGTGAAGTCAATATAATTTTCGCGCCGTATTTTTAAATAATATTAATAACATCATTTATTTGTCTGTAATATATGTATGGATATCAAGTACTGTATACCAGAAAAATGTAATTTTATAATTTAATAACAGATATCTTGATAAATATAAAATTGTGTACTATTGTCACGAATCATTATAATTATTCGTAATAAAAGAATTACTTGTTTCTGTTTGCGAATCATCCATATCAGAAAAGGTAAAGTTACATCCGGTATAAGAATTTCGATTGATGCAATATATTAGGACGCTCCTCCAGTACGGATCTTGGGCTAAAAGACTGGGATTTCCTAAAATTATTACTAAAGCACGAGCACGAGTAATCGCAACATTGAGTCTTCGAGGACAAGCAACAAATCCAAGGGAGTGTTTAATATCATCGGTTATAAAATTGCTTGAAGACCGTACAGCTGAAATAATGATGACATTACGTTCTTGGCCCTGAAATCCTTCAACACTGCTAATTTTTGGTAAATCCACGTTTAACTCCATAAGTAATTCACGAATTTGAAGAACCTACAAAACGATTAAAATGAAGCATGGAATTACTTAACAGTCATTTTTTTATAAATTATATTTAATGATCTTACCTGTTTTTGATAAGGGGTTATAATTCCTACATCATCTGGTGAAAGACCACATCTATATAGTTTTAGTAAGTAAAGATATGCCTGTGTTGCTTCTTCCGGATTATACCAACTCGGACTATCATTGTCTTTACAATTCTCTCCATTTACACCGTGGAAAACAATGGGCGGCGGAGCACCTTTCCTTTCTGGTAATTCAGAAGCTAATGTCTGTAAAAGTTTTGCTTCCTTGCTTGTTTTAGTTGATACCTACAAATATTCTTTTATTAAGTTTTTCACATAAGGTAAAAATAACATACTAAACAAAAAACCTATACTTATATAAATGAGCATACCTGTGCAATTAATTCAGAGTCATAAAATAATGAACTTGATAATTCAAGTATTTCCGGTAAACTTCGATAATTTATAACTAGTTTTGTAACTAGCCTAGGATCATATTGTGATTCAAAACCATTAGGATCTCTTTGATAAGGGAAATGACGTAATAACCTCGTCAGAAACGATTCGTCTAAACCAAAGTTCTTTGCTAATCTACTTTGTACAACGGGCCCGAGTTGCAATGGATCACCCGCAAGAATTACTTGTCCATAATCAGAATGAACAAAGTTTAATGGAATCATAATTTCTGGTTCCGTTGCTTGTCCAGCTTCATCGACCAGTACATGTGAAAAGTGTCCACGCGGGAAACCCATGTTGTTCAATATTCCTAATGCAATACAGGTACCAACAGTAATTCTATGACGACCAATTACACTCATAGGACAGTTTAATCTTGGACCTGTTCCACTGTATTTCATTTTCTCGACTGTTTTCTCTTCTGCCAACTCTGCAGTAGCACAATATGGTAACAATTTACCAGATATAGAATCACTACCTAAGTAATGATGTGCTACAAGTCGTACCTGTAAAACATTTTAATTCTGAAGTATAAAATCTTTATCAGTAATCAGATGACAAAACTTTAATACTCTTATAAAAACAATTAATAAATTTATTACGTAGTTCTAATAAATATTATATACCATGTCACCAGGTTTGAGAACACCACTGTCTAGAAGTCGTTCTGATATAAGGTTTGCTGAACTATTAGATGGTGTTGCAATTAATAATCGACTTTCAGGTATAGTCGATAAAATTTGCAGAATTGTTTCACATAAAGTAATAGTTTTTCCTGTACCTGGAGGTCCGAATATTACATAAGGTAATGGCCGCGCATGTCCTTTTAATATGTTTCTTACTGCTTCCTTCTGATAATAATTCAAATTTTTATTAAACCAAATTAACTTTCGTTTTTTTATTTGTGAAATATATGGCTGTAATTCAGTGCCATAAGAAGAAACTGATGTTTCGTTTAAATGTTTTGACGTTTTCTCCGCTAAATTTTTATCATTAACTATTTTCTTCTTTACTTCAACATCTTGAGTATCTCTTGTCTGTGCAATAGGACTCGTTACACATTGCTTACTTTCTGCTATTGGTTGAACATTAAATAATCTCTGTACTACTGACATTTTTGTAGACGATTTTGTTGTACTATTAGATTTATTACTTGTAGGTGTACTGCTGGTAGAAGATCCTGATGAGATGGAATCATTTCGCTGATGAGACAGTTGCTTAAACTCTGGCTTATCGATTGGTTCGAGTTCTTCAAGATCTACCTGAGATTCTTTTTGAACTACATGCGAAGGAAACAAGAAATTGGAACCAAGACGATGTATTGCCATATTAATTGCATTATGACAACGCTGTATGGCAGAGTTCGAACATTTAAATGTGACTTGACAATCTTCGTAATTATATTCTTGATGAAATTTGTAATTGAATTTCAAAAAAATGTCCAAGTTCGTTATTTTATGGATGAATCCTTCATACTTCAATTGTCCTATTTTAAACGTTACGCGTTAAAATTCCAACTTGTATTAATTAAAGATTACTGATTTACGCATATCGAAATTTAATATCATACCTTCAGAATTATCCCATCTAAAGGACACTATAGCTCTATCACCAACAAGTAGGGATGGACGTTTTTCTGCAAGTCCTGGCACTTGCATAACTAAATATTCCCCACTACGTCTCATTACTGTACTTTCTATACTATATTGCTGCATATTTATTGCTTGAGCAATTTCTTCTAAATATAGTAAAGAATGAAAACGGTCTTTGTATAATTCAAAACAAAGCCTATTCAGTAAACAAGGTATAGCATTGCCTACTTCATATTCACATTCAGTTTGTGATTTCCCTTCATCTATACATTTTGATATTATATTCCAGTAATGTCGAGGAACTTTGAATATCACATTTCGCACTTTAATAAATGCTGGTGGTTTAAATGGACGAATACCTGGAATGTACGTGGTTTGACTCCATTCATCTACATCTAATACATGACCAGATTTATTAGGTTTTATATTATCGCTTTTCACGCACATTCTATTTTGTACATTCTTAGGTCTAACAGTTATATGAAAAACTCTTCCAATTTCAAAATCTTTAAAATTAAAAATAAATAATTCTTCGCTTGTACCAATAAATTTTGCTGTACATTTAAATATGTATGTTAGTTTATCAGAAGGGTTTAATACTGAAACTGTATTAAGTGTAGTTGGCTGCACTAAAGCCAGCTGAGACTGATTTTTATTTGTCATGAATCGACCCTTCTGTAATACATGTGAAGTATTACCTACATTTTGTACTGTAACTGTTAAATTTTGTTTCTCCAACACATCTAATTCAATTCTTAAATTATCATTAATAACTATACCACATTTGTTTTTCACAAGTTCATCTAAATTTTTGTTTATTCTGAGACTATTGCACAATGTTGGTAATTTATTTTCTTTCTCTGAGGTCTGTAAAAATCAAATCACATAATTATAATTTATTAACAATAATTTGTTTTCTGAAAAACTAATTATTTTTCCTTAAATTACAACTTACTTGAACTAGTGGAACTACGGTTAATGATCTCCATGTATAAATTCCTTGATCGCTTTCAATACTGTCACTAATTACTTTATCACCAACACAAGGAATGTAACCAGAACCACATATCCTTTTATTAAATACAATATCTTTACCGATAGTACCAATTCCTTTAACAGGATCATAGGTAGATACAGTTCCAACATCTAACTTAGATCGTAAAGGTTGTATTTTCTGCACCTTTAATATTGTTCCATTTAAATCATAAGAATTTTCATCAAACTTTACTTCGGACTCTAGTTTTAACCAGTCCCCAATCACAGGGATAAATTCAGATTTTACTTCATTCAAATCAACAGAAATATTATTAGGTTCTACAATTACCAAACGATTCTTACGTTCAATTACTTTTCCAACAATACATTTTATTAATGCTTCTGGTTCAATAACATTTGCTTGGGAATCTGTGACTACCTTATCCCAAGAATTATCTGTCACAGAAATAATTCTTTTTATTTTGTATCCATTCTCATTGTTATTTTCAGAAGCCAAATAGTCAACTGTATCACCTACTTTTAGATTATTTACTGAGACATTTATAATATCACATGTATAAGAATGATCAACTACCACATAATCTGTGGAAACAAAAGTAATATTTCCTGTTTTGTAGTAACAATCTTGCTTGTCATGGTATTCATCTTTTTGCGCTTCTTCTTCATGAGCACTCTCAATACGAGCTATAACATTATTTATTTCATCTGTGTCATTTGCTATAGGTGATTCATACCCCATAGTATATTTAATAACACTATATATAAATGACAACATATTTAATTTCTGTTATTTCTATCCATATACCTACGAACATTTCATTAGTTTGGATTAAAATTCATATTAATGTTATAAATATGAAATATTGGGTTGTTCGAAAAGTTCATAACAAAATTTAATGATACTAAAATTTTGATGTAATCAAATAAAAAGTACAGTTGTTATTTAATTCACTAAGAATATTATATTTCTTATACTTATAATTTGTTGCAATATTTTATTATATTATGGGACAAATATATCTTGTAATACAAGGACAATTATTGCATTCTTTTGCTGCCAATTGTTAGGGCGTATTCATGTGATAATTGCTTTGTTATGAATAAGTTAACATTCCAATATTTCGCACTAAAAATGATAATTAGAAAATACCGGTCGATTGATTGATATCTCCACTCTGTTGCCTTAATATAATCCAATTCTTTTCTCAACGATTGCACACGTTTTAAATGTAATTCCCGGAGTAAACGTTTTTGTTGCTTTTGTTCTTGTAATTCGGATTTCATTTGATTCAAGATTTTTGAAGTTTGATTCCCGCTAGAGGTTAATTCTGAATCTTCAGGTTCTGAAGCTCGTTGTCCTGGCGAATGGCCCAAAGTTCCAGATGACAAAGTGGAGGAATTCATAATTTAACTCGTAACACTTCGCACATCATTTGATGATCTTCAAAGACATTTTTCTTAAACATTCACTATCAGTTTACGTTCTGAGGATATAAACGTCGCATAATAAAATACACGTGTTGTGTGATCTGACCAATAAAAAGTGACGCGACGTCATTGCAGCGGGAAGATCGTATTTATTTTCCTACAAAATTTCGTTTCTAACCATTTGCTGATAAATGAGGAAACAAAATGATTAAAATAAAGATATTTTCTTTAGCTATTATTTGTAGCTACAACAAACAAAAACAATACATAATAAATCATTTCTATAGACAGTTGTTTCAATTTCTCAAACCTATCTCTTACAAAATTCTAAAATGAAATTAAAACTGTAACTTGAAACTTTAAAATGAACCTGAAACTGTAACTTAATTCTTACTCATTAATTTCCTTGTCCAAATTATAAGTCTTACAATTTCCGAAAACATGAAAAAAGGTGCATCAAAGAAACATGTTACCACATCCAAACAAAACCTTTATGAAAAACCATATGGATTCTGTTGCGATATCAAAGAAGATGCTCCGAGATCATTGTCCAAACAGCGAATTTATATGCCACCATTCCTTTCAACCGGTAAACCTAATGAAGGTCCTGATATTAAATTTCGCATTCACGAAGAGGATGTTACATCTGCCGCTCTACGTGCTGCTCAAAGAAGTGGACAAAGAGGTCGAAGAAGTTCAAAGAGACAACCCTTTGGAATTGGAATTGGACTACCAGGGTCTCAATAATCAACTTTTGAATTTAAAATAAGCAATTAATTATCATTAAATTACAATTAAATTTTTTTCATTAATAGTTATATAACCTATAATTAATTGGGTAGTTTGTAAATTAAAATTTAACTTTTGAGTTTGTAATGTTTAAAATTAAATTTTAATTTTGAAGTTTCTTTATCTAGCTGATTGTGAAATTAAATTTTAATTTTCATTAGGTAATCGTTCAATTAACAATTAGTTTGTGATAAATACTTTTGAGTACAATTTAATTGTTTTAATTTAAGTATGAGGTACGGTGGACATCGACAACGTGGAGGTGCAAATAATTCAAGAACCGATTTGGGAGAAACTGTTCCTGAACGAATGGTATGTCAACGATGCAGAGGACCATTACAATGGTATCTGGAAGATGAAATAGCCGTTGCTCGCGACTTCATGATAAATAGAAGAATAGAAGACTATAATGCTGAAATGGATAGAAACGTAAAAATCGCTAAAAAAAAAGGTATGTAGTAATATAATATTTCTTATAGAGCGGTGAGAAGAAATATTAAAATATTAATACAATTTTAATCGAAATAATTTGTTACAGAAAAACATAGAAGACAACGTAAGACAGTAAAAAAGAAACAAAGCGAAGAGAAAGAAGAATCATATGAAAACGAAGAAAAAACTTAGAAAAAATATTAAGTCTATGAAATTTTACTGTTATTTAAATAAAATATAATTTTTTCAATTAAGATACTTCTCTTTGTTCGTTGTACTGTATTTAGCATTGAACATTTTTGAACTCGTATTAGAAAATATATAGTTTATTCGAATAGAAATGTTTACATAATCTCATGTTGAAGAACGCAATACTGTGAATATGCTACTCAAAAGTTTTATATGATAAAGTTTCGTAGCGCTAAAAATTTTTATAAAGCTACAACGCACGCATATATGTATGTATGTTTATATATAAGTATTTAATGAAGAATAAACGGAACTAACATTGTCGTGTCTATTCGCAAAAGTAACACTTTTATGTAGCCGGTTTCTATCATTCTTGTTTTCTTCTTCTTCGAAGAGAGTACATAATTGTTTTTCTTTGTTATATTCGTTCAATAAAATTATTTACAGACGTTAGGTACTATTTTATAGGAGTATGATTCATCAATACTCAAGGAACGGAAAATGAAAAGCTGTGAGAATTTGCAAAAATTTATATTGTCATCATAAATTATTAGAAAAAATTATACATGCTTGGACGCGACAATAATTTGTCATGAGACTTACCGGCATTATAAAAAGAAAAGTTTTATTTTTGTTTATAAAATTTTGCATAAGTGAGTAATACATAGTTATTTGTTGAAGTTTTGTAACATAGTCCGTTTCTTGAGCACTAACACTGACATACAATGTGTGTTCAGTATGTTAAGATAGTACAAAAGTAATAACTAGAAGACAATTGCGAATCTTATCACAATATTGCAATAAAGTCTCATGGAAAAAATATCGCATTATTAGTTAACAATATCACTATTAGAGGCATTTTAATTTTACATTTACGCATTTCGTAAATGAAGAAAATAAACATGTTTTTTTATAGAGGCGTATATGAACATGTAATTAATAAAAGTTGTAACAATTCGTTAAACATATAGTAGCATTGAACTAAAGCAGTTCTAAAAATAAAATTGTTGTAAATCGTTTAATTTATGTAATAATAATAGATGTTAAAATATAATTGTGTTTTATTCACAAATACATATTGATAAAATTAAAGAAAAACTAAACAAAATAGTACGAAATTTGATAACTATGTTTTCCTTTCAAAGAGGAAAATAATAGTTATAAATCAAATATTTAAAGTTAATCATTTAAAAAAATAAATAGACAGAAAAAAATAAACATCTTTAATCTTATTTCTTACCATAAACTTGATATAATCTTATGAAGTATTTGTTTAAATATAAAATGTTTTATCAATTTTATAAATAGTACCTGAATAATAGTAATGACATACTTATATTCTTTATAATTTTTTACATGGATTTTTAATTTGTATTTGAAGTTTTTTTCTTTTAAACGCGTTATAAATTAGATACACTTAGTCTAAACAGAAACATTTAATATTTAATAGTCATACTTAATTTTTTATAGTTGCAATTGAATTTAGATACAAAATTATAATGGCTTAAAATATTTTAAGAAAATAACAAACTTAATGCTAAATTTTAAATGAATAAATAATATGAATTCAAATTTTGAAACGAAAAGTATAATAAAAAAAAATTTATATCACTTTCATACATTATATCAAATTTATGCTTCAGATATCTAATTTATGAAATTACTTTTGTTTATTCTACACTAAAATTATATCGAAACTGAAGTATAGTTTTGTATTAATATACCACAAATTGTTCTTTGGCAAAGCACCAGAAAATATTTTGTTACTGTTTTTATCTTGTTATGTTTATATAAAACAAAGTTTGTTTAATAACAGTATACAAAATCAAATAATACAAATGATAATTCTTAATTACGTGAAAAAATATAAAAGATAACACAAAAATAAAAATAATGTTTTATACTCCAATTTCTTTACATTTAAAGCTGCAATATATATTTAGGAATGTTGTCCATTACTGAAAATTTCTTCTTTGAAGAAAGCACAATAATATTTCTTATGTTCATGTACGATAAATTTGATCTTGTTACAAGCAAGATATTCATTATAATAGAACTATATTAAGTAAAACATAGATCTCTTTTCAAAATTAAATATTCATTCAAAAGACAAGAGTTTAAAGTTTTTTAAAAAATTGCGTTCAATTATATTACTTTTGTATAGAATCATTTACCCAATTTTCCTCAGAGTGTGAAACGTTTTCAGTATTATTTCCTTCATTAACATTCATAGAAACTGATGATTCACATAATGAAATCGTATCTTGCTTGTCAGTGATCTTACTAGATTCGTTGTTTGATAGTTCTATAGGCTGTACATTTAAACATTCGTTTTTATCCATTTTATCTGTCTTAATCTCAGAACAATCTTTAGGATCCGTTGTACTAACATTTACTTTGTTATCACCTTGTATTTTACAGTTTTCACTATCATTTTCCTGCTCTTGGGTAACAGTTTTATCCATATTAATAGTCTTCTCATCTACATCACTTGTTACAAATTGTTTACTTGTTGACTGCAATTCTGTTGTGTTTTCTTCATTAAGATTGCTACACTGTGTATCTGTATTTAATTCACACATCTCTTCTTTATTGTCACTTGTTACCGACTCTCTACTTTCTGATACTAATTCTATCTTTTCATCAAGCTTGCTAGCCTGAATATCTGTACCTAATTCACATTTTTCTTCATTATCACTTATTACAGGCGGTTTACTTTTTGACTCTAATTCTGCTGTCTTTTCTTCATCAAGCCTATTTTGAACATTTGTATTTAATTCACATATTTCTTCTTTATCATTTGTTACAGGTAATTTATTCTCTGACTCTAATTCTACTTTATTTTCTTCGTTAAGCTTGCTACATTGAATATCTGTATTATCTTCAGATATTTCTTTTTCGCTTTCTGTCTTTGAATTGAATGAATTATTTTGTTCTTCTTCGAGATTTTTCAAATCAATTTTGGTAGTTAACGAGCTTGTATTCGATACGTCTGATGAAATTTCTTCCTCACTTGTCTTTTGTATTTGAGAATCATTATTGATTCCAATATTAATGTCCGGCTTTTGTGTTTCATTCTCAGCCTGTGATTCAACTTGTTCTAAATTTGTTTTTTCTTTAATATCAATATTTTCACAAGTTTCTAAATTATTGGCGTTACTTTCGAGTGTTTCCTCTTCTTCTTCCTCGGATTTCATATTCTGAACGATTTCATCAATGCTAAGTTCTATTGTAGAATTCATATTCGCGGATTTATCCGCGTTTTCATCCATTTCCTGTTTTTCATCTTCAAAATTATTTGCAGATTCGAATGTTTCTGACATTTCAGACGGCATGTCGATATTCGTGTCTGTTTTAGGACTGCAATAAATTTCATCTTTTTCTTCCTTACTTATGTCTTCTTCGTTTGCTGTTTTAGAATCTGGCACCAGAAGGTCAATAATATTTGTTCCATTAAGAGTTAATTTCACATAAATTGGATCATTTGTGTCATCGAGAATTTCGAACTGAAACATCGTTTCTCCGTTTGCAACAAGTTCTTCAAATGTTTTGCAAACTTCTGGAGACCAATCGCTTATGGTATTCAATTTTTGTAGAGCACAGTGTTTAGATAAAGGAGGAATATTTATGATATCTACAGGCAACACTCGCACCTCATTCGTAATGTCTTTGTTACCAAAATCTATGTATAAAACTTCAGTACCATTCTCAGAATGTGATAAGATTTTAGCTCTATACCACTGATTATCTTCAGAAAATTGAGCAGCACAAATAGTACCGGTTTCAAACGTGTTAAGAGGAAGAAAACTGTGAGCTGCCTGCAGTCTGTCAGCCATTATGCTCAAATCCGTGATACTGCTTTCAGTTTGAACCCAAAAATCGTTTGGTGAATTAACGCGAGTAATAAATACATTCGGTGAATTTTCTTCGCCCAAAGGAGGTAATCGTTCCTCTATAATCGGTGGATAACGTTCACAGAAGTTTGCAAGCAAATCAGTAACATTATTACCATTCAACGTTAGCTTTACTAACGATGTTTCATCTTCTTTCAGAACATCTAATAAAAATATAGTTGCTCCATCAGCAGCTAACCTTACAAATTCTTCGCAAGCTTTCTGCGACCATTCTGTGATTCCTTGTGGCATAACTAGACTACATTTTCTTGATAATGGAGGTACATTCGCAAGGTCTGGAGGTATGGCGCGTATTTCAGTCGAGGTAGCAGAATTTCCATAATCGATATAGATAACTCGTGTGGCGTTATCGTTATGTGATACAACGCGTGCCCTGTACCAGCAGTCGTCTTCAGGATATTTTGCAATGCATAACAGATTTTCTTTAATTTCATCAACTTTGGGAAACATATGTGCTACAATGAACCTATCGGACATAACTTCTAAATCACCTACAGATTTTTCTTCTTGAACCCAGAACTCACTTGGAGAATTAACGTGACTTACAAAAGCAGAATGAGGATCTAATTCGAGATCAACTATTTCGTCAATTAATTCTTCTTCAGTGTGAACTTTTATAGCGTGATGTTCTTCGACCAATGTCTCGTTTACGCTTTTGCCATTTACTAATAAATCAACTCGTTTCGGAATACTATTTGCTATTATCAATGCTTGTAAAGAATCAGCAGATGTTACCAAATTTCCAAACTTTTCACAAGTTGTAACGTTCCAATCTTCTGAATCTATTGAGATAACATCTAGTCTGCATTTAATTGCATATTCCTTCAACTCTTTCCATGAGTCTGGTATTTGTCGAATGTTTCCAGGCTTACTATCGATGATATCCGTGTTTCCATAATCGATAAATCGAACAGTCGTGATATCTTCATCGGCATCAAGTACTTGGGCTCTATACCACAGATTGTCTATGCTGTACACAGCAACACATAAACTTCCTTCTTCCAATATTCCATCTACTAACGGGAACGTAGGAGCTTGTATTTGAAGCTCTTCTTGCTTGCTCTCAAGATCAGCAATATCGTCTTTGTGTTGAAGCCAGAATTGACTAGGTGAATCCGAATGAGAAACAAGTACATTGTACATGGAACCTACTGACATGTGATGAATACGAGGTTTTCCTACACTAGATGTTTTTTCTGATGCTAAATTAAGCGAACGGAATTTATCACTGATTTTTTCTCCGTCCTGTAATAATTCTACAACCCACTTGTTGTTCACATTACGAAAAACAGCTGTAAGTTCTTTATGGGATAGGTAATTTTGTAGTATGTTTAACTGCTCAGATATTGGACCATTAAGCGTTACTGGTAATGACACATTTATAGCCAACTGATGCGGTGTATAAAATTGTGAATCTAAAGCCATCAACACATCAGGCGTTACTTCTTCATTATTGCCATAATCAATGAAATTTACGTAAACTCCATTTTCTGTACATGTTATAACTTTAGCTCGGTACCAATGACCATCTACGCTTTTTGCAGCGCATAGAAGATCTACTTTTGGTTCCACTAATTTTCCAGATGTAGAATAATACTGATCAAGAGCTTCAGCTAAAGTTTTGTCCAAATAGTATTCTTCATTACGTTGCAACCATATACTGGCAGAATGATCTGCATATGACACGGCTACTTTATAAGTAGAACTTAAAATAGGCATTGGACAAATTGGACATATCTTCTCATCAGAATCTTCAGAAATATTTATTTTGTTACCAAATAAATCAAAGACCTTCACAATGAGCCTAAAAAAGATATAAAATATATATAATTTAAAGGTAAAAGTAAATAGTATGTTAAAGCTATTAATTATTTTGTTCCTAAATAAAATTTATCTTATTGTTAGATGGTTATACATGAACAATATATTACTTTCAAAATTTATTTTTAAATAAAAATCTAACACTTCTTTCATTTTTTAACTGTTTAAGTTATTATCGCATTTACCTGTTATTATCGACCTCGTTAACTTGTACTATTACTTCTTTCCCTTCAATGCGTTCTTTTAATATCTTATCTGTTTCAGGAGAAGATATATTTGCAAGGGAACATTCTATTGCTTGATTTTGCATAACTGAAAGTTCTCCTGGTAAGGCTAACACCTAAATTAACAGATTTTATTAGTAACTAAACATTCAAATAAAAGAAATATTTTAAGCAGAAAGTATAAGAATCTTATTAATAGTAATAAGTATTGCAATAAATATTTTAATCACTTAAATAAATACTGTGCTTAATAACGAAAAAGAAAGCAATAAAATTATTAATTTATAGATTTATATATATTGAATATTATTAATAGCCTAAATATAACTTGTATTACATTTAATTCTACTAAACGTTTTTGTATCAACATTCTTCAATGCAGTAAGTATGGTATTAAATAACTCCTACTCATAGCAGTAATGTTATATTATCTGTAGGTAAAATGAATCTAGCATGTAGATTGATCTCGTTTTCTTTTAAAAAAACTCACACTATCCGAGAGAATTTCATCATATGCTCCAGTATCAATGAATTTTACATCAAAGCCTGCAGTTCGTGAATGGTTACTGATTACTGCTCGCCTCCAAACTCCATTTGAATAAACCAAACAACCTGTGCCCAGGCATATCTCATGGGCCGCTAATCGTTGCATCACCTGTTATTGCCATACTTATCCTTACCGATATTATTCGCTTAAATTTGTTTATACAACCATTTACAAGAAACTTTAATTTTGAAATAGTGTACAATAATATTAATTTTATATTATCCTGCATATTTTAATGAACTTCGAAGTATACATGATAGAGTAATATTGACATAATAATCAGAATTTAATTGTATTAATAAATGAATAGGCTTTGAACTACCATATTGGTGAAATACTGGATGAATCAACATTTTTAAAATGTAAATAAAAATGAATTAATAACTATGATAATCTTATTTTAATTAGTACTAAAAGATTACAAATTTTAGATATTACTTGACATATACATTTAATAATACATAAAAATAAACAATTTCAAGCATGCAATGTTAAATGTATATTAACATATTTATTTGCAACAGGACATGTTACAAATGCAGTATAAGTAAAAATGCGAAGGTATATATAATGAAAATATTAGGTTTAATTGTAAGATCACAATAAGAACAAAATAAATTAAAATCTTTTTCAATATGTACAGTACTACATAGAATATTTTCAAAATAAATTTTAATTTAATATACCGAAATTTACATTTATTTAATACTACATATAGTATTCTGGAAAAATATCAAATGTATTAAAAAAAAGAATGTAATACAATATTTTACAAAAAAACTTACCTCTCGAATTACCTCATCAAATATACATATACAATTTAGAGATTATTAAGTTAAGATAAAATATAACAGGAATATTTCTCATAATCAATATAATGGGTAACATATTAAGTATGTATATGATTTAAAACAGTACAGCATAAGGACAATACAAATTTACTGATTAAGTTATTAATACCATACATCGTGCAATGGAATGTAAGAAATATTATATGATTAAAATAATGAAAATTAGTAAAATACGATTATGCTAACGGTATACAATTGTTTTATACTAATTTCAGTTAGTTGAAGAATTAGTATGTTAACATAATTTTTTTACTATCCATAGTAGCACCAAAAATATATGTATAAAGAAACAAAAATGAATTATAATACTAGTTATTGTAGTACTAGCTGTAGTGCTAGTACTATACCAATGTCTTATCCAACTACGTAATTTAAATCTATATTTTTGTATTATGATTACAAAAATAATGTAATCACGGTTATGTACTTATAAATAAATATAATCTGATATGAACGTGTAAAACATACCTTAGGATCTTTGTTAGCCATATAGTTGTTGATTTGGTTTTCACATTCAGAAGCTGCAGGAAATTGAATATAAAACTTAGATGCATTTTCAACGCTTGAAACTTTAACTCTAAGCACTTGACCACTTAGAAGATTTATATCTATTCTCTCCACGTTACATAAAATTTCGGGTGTTGCAGTATCGTCAACTGCAAACAAAATAATAAGAAAAGTTATAAGATTACTAAAACTATTGGACATTCTGTCTAAAAATGACAAGTAGTGTACCTTTAGCAATGGTATCTGATTTACTCTCTGACGCAAATGATGCAATATTTTTTTTAACCAATGTAGTCGCTACGTCATTTCCATTATTCGACAGTGATATTACATATTTATCATCCTTTATGTCATGGAAAACGCATTCAAATTTGTCAGCATTAAAACAGTTATCAATTTCTGTTGTATTTACTTTTGACCAGCTAAGACCATCTTGTGGAATAATGTTTAATAAAGAACAGTGGATAGCTTGTTTAGGAAGCTGCATTAATTTTTTTTCTACCGAATAAATCTTTCGAGGATCAACTACAGCATTATTTCCGAAATCTATGTACTGAACAAGATGACCGTTTAATTTATTTAATTCAATAATTTCTGCGCGATAGAGAGCTCCATCTTCAGAAAATATTGCTATCACCGGTGAACCAATCTGAAAGTAATAATTTTTCATTTAAGCAATTTTGAATAAAAAAATGTTGAAAATTTTGTATTAACCTATTACCTGTAATGTGTGTGAAACAGGCTCTCTCCCAGCATATATTTTTTGTATTTCATTCATCATAATCCTAAATTCTTTTTCATTATCAAGTACTTGGCAATAAAAGTTATTGGGATTAGTAAACCACGTAATAATAACGTCTTTTTTAGCTTCAAGAATGTCCGAAATCGTTGCCCACTTGGCATCGCAGGACACATAATCAGGTAAATTTAATTGTTTTGTACTGGCCGAAGTTTTTCCACTAAGTATTGCATCCATTTTTGTTTTCAATAAATCAATACCCTCACAAAATTCTTCATTTATGAAAGTGTTACTTGGAAAACCATTAACAACTTCTCGTAATAAAACACTATATATACCATTTTCTTCGACTACAAATTCGATTTCCAACGTTTTTTCAGCAACCTTATCTTCAAAATCTTTTACTTTACTTTTATCAAGAGCATCGTTCTTTACTCCAAACAATTTACAATGTACAGCTTGTACTGGGAGTTTCACAAATTCTTCTTTAATAGCTTTAATTTTGTCAAATTCAACGTTTTCTGTATTTCCATAATCTACAAATTGTACAGTTGCAGTTTTTCCTTCAACAGATTTGATTAGCGCCCTGTACCATTTTAAGTCTACTGAATATTGAGCAACGCAGTACGCTCCGCGCGATATTTCGGACTCCTTCATTAACTCTCCACCATTCTCATATATTGATGCAATATTTTCCATTAAAGAATCTAACGCAGTATAATCAGGACTTAATTGAATAAAGAAGTCGGACAAATTAGTTGTAAAAACTACTTCACAAGTTTTTGTGGATCCAACAACTATATTAGGAGATGGAATATGAAATCCGCTTTTATTTCGCATGGGACTATATCTTCGACCTTCCCCATCAGAAAATGAACTTGAAGAATTAAATTTACTTTGTGTTAATCTGTACCCTTGCCCTTTCTTATCTCGAGATCTACTATTTCCACGATAAAAGTCATTGTTCGTTCTTCCACCTTTAAAATTTCCATCATTTTCTTTATCGTTAAATTTGTTACTTTGAAGTCTTCCGGAAATTCCTTCGCGTTTCGCATAACCGCCACGAGTTGAACTCCTGCCGCGTCTACCGCTACCTCTAGACGATGTATCTGAATCTTTATCGCTCCAACTTTTATCAGAAGAAGAATTCCTAAATCCATAGCCAGAACTTGTTTTTCTGCCACCACCTCTAGGACTTCGTCCACTCCTAGACGATTCATTATATTCATTTTTGTTACTCCACTTATCTTTTGAATTTCTATTATTAGCATAATCGTCCCTATTAAATTTTTCGTTTCGTGTATCATTACGATGAAAATTGCTTTCATTACGCGTATCATTGCGATGAAAATTACTTTCGTTTCTTGTATCGTTACGATGAAAGCTACTTTCATTTCGTGTATCATTACGATGGAAATTATTTTTATCGCTTTTGTTGTCATTTAGCTTTCCTTCGTTCGACTCATCCTTCCACGATTTAAATTTATTCTTTTCCTGAGCAATGTTGTTATTTGATTTCTGATGCCAAGAATCTGATTGCTTCTTTTCGTGCCATTTATTTGTACTTTCGCTTTGATTTATTTTTGAACTCATTTTTACAGAGTGTTTCTCTTCCATAGCGTTATAACTCAGTTCATTTATTACTTTCTTCTCATCTCCAATTAAATGGAGCATTTCAGATTTAACGTCCTGCATTTTTTCGGGATCGTATAAATCTACAATTATACCATCCATAGTTACATCTACTACTCTTAAACTTAAACGCTTCTCTAAAATCAATAATTCAAATTGATTGTAAACTTCTTGAGTACAAGGTAAAAGTTCCCAGTCATTTAAAATGCACTTTATAGCTTGAGCTTGTAATTTTTTGACTAAATCTTCGCGGATGTAACGAAGAGATGTTAAAGGTACTGTTTCTTCGTTACCATAATCAACATATAAAACCTTCACGTTATTTGAATTTATAGCAATGATTTGTGCCCTATACCACTGATGATCATACAAAGCAGCACAAGGAAAACCAATTTTTAGCTGTGCCAAATTCAAATTTGGTGCAGATTTACAAAACTCTGCCAGATGAGTCATTATTAATTCAAGAGATTTAATACTTTTTTCCGACTGTACAAAAAACTTTTTGCAAGATTCTACAAATGACACGAGTACATTTTCTTCTGTGCCCTTTAACAACTTTTTTGCTTCTTGATACGTAAAGGTTGGAGAGCTTGGTGTCATTACAGTTGGACTTGGAAATGCTTGTCTAAGAATGTCTTTTATATTTTTCCCTTCATCGTATAAGTCACCATACTGAACCAAAGGTGGTCCTTCCGGTGGACGTACATGTAAAACGAGCGGTTTGTGTGATACTATTTTTTTAAAATATTCTTTCATTTCCTCTGTTGTATTTAATTCGTACACACCACTTAGCGTAAATCGTATAGAAAGTACTCTAGGATTAATAAAATGAGGTGGTAACTGGAAAATATCTGTATATGGTAACATTTCTGTATGGCCGAAATCAACATAATAAAGTTTACACTTATTTTCCATTACAGACATTACGACTGCTCTACATAAAACTTTATCTTGTGTGTAACGACCTAGGCAGACTGACCCAGGTAAAGGAGGTTCTTGTAATGGTTCAATTGGATGACTATTAATTTCCCTCATGAGTGAACTTAATATTTGTTTAGCGCTACGAAGTTGAACGGAAAATTTATGTGGACCATCTTCTACACAAGAAACGTATACATCATGTTTCGACGGAACATCCAAAACACGAGATTTAAACACCAGAGCTTCTTGAACTGAAGTCTGCATCATTTGTTTCTGTTGTGCCAAACAACATAAAGGAACATTTGATTGATATCCATGCATTTCACTTCCATCACATCGCAATGCATTCATATTTTCTACAGGTGTCATTGTAGCACAGTTACTGCTAAGAGAATGTTTACTTGGTTGGTAGATTGGTACTTGAGGTTGTTGCACACACTTTAGCCTAAAACATACGGATAAATTTCATTAAGCAAAGATAATGAAGACAATATTTTTTTAATAACTTATTATCGTTAATTCAAATCTGGAGTCTAAACGTAGAGCATATTAAATCACATTATTCTAATTGTAGAGAAGAGTAAGTCAAAATTTGTGCAGTTTCGGAATCATTAAAAATATGTACATATCATTATTCTAGTTGCACAGTTCTTTAAAATTTTACAAATTAAATGAGTTTAGTATACTCTGGTTTAAGAATCTAAAAATGATTATAAATGACATATTTAATATTAAAAATATTTTATAAAAGTAACAACCATAGAAATGAAACACAAATTAATATCAGAATAAAACTTATATAAGACATTTGCTTACATCAAAATAAATATAAAACAACTGATATATAATAATAACATAAATACCTAAACATGTCTTGCAAAGAGGCTCTTATTGCCATATGTCTCTTAATCAGTAATTCACTGAAATCTTCATTATTGCACCAAAGTTTAATGAAGCGATGATTGTTAACCATACTATGAAACAAAATTTTATATTCATTGTACCGTAGAGTCTTCTTAATGGACTCTATTATCTTGTTTTCCCAGATACCATTCACAGGTAATACATGCATTAATGTGAAATCTAATGCCACTGGTGGAAGGGATTGCAAAGACTCGGAACCAGGTATAGTATCAAGTAAATGAACCTCTTGAGGTGGTAGTACTTCGATATTGCCATAATCAATAAACTGTAGAACTACCATACCATCAGAGCGTATATTAATTACTCTGGCTCGATAGTATCCTTCATTTTGAAATTTGGCACAACAAAGAGCATTTATATGCAAATTAGCTGCCAAAGGTCCAACACAGCCTTGACTTCGAATAAAATGTTCGACCAGAGGTAAAATCATACGTTCCACACATGTCGCAGAATTTTTGTCAACTTGACCCCAAATTTTGAGGAATGAATCCTCTGCTTCGATATGGGTCACAAAGATGATCAACTCTGTGCTTTGTTGTACGCTCATTGCGTTATACTATTTCTGTTCTTTTAAATTAGTACGGTGCACTAACTTTTATTTAACTACATAGATGAATCTGCAATCTGAAACACGAAATTTTTGTTAAATAACGTAAATGTATTTTTATTCAAGTCTAACCGTTAACCGAAACTGGGCCACCTTAGACTTATCAAATAATGCGACCGGAAGATCACGCGATTACGGTAGTTTCTATCTATATGCACTTTCTTATTGTTGCATTACTTTTAATTTATTTCGTTTTTGTAACTATTCGTATAAATAAATTCTTTTATTTTTACCGTATTGTACGTATAACGTAACTGTTTCATATCGTATCAATAATTATTTAAGCATTTGACCACTCGAATGTCATGTAATATTGTAGAAAACAATTGTATACAATTTATTTGGCAAGTAATTTTTACTTGTTTGTTGAACGTTAACGGTCTATACCAAATTTATAAGTTGTAAACGTACATACCTAAAACCAATACTCTACATCATATTGCGTATAAAAAAATCTATGTCAATGTTACAACTAAAAGTAACACAAACCTTATGAATATTGTATTAATTATATTTCTTCTAACTCATATCATTAGTGCGTAATGAATCAATACTTTTTCTATAAGATTTCCTTTTCGTAAATAAAATCAGAATCTGGCGGTAGACCGGCTTTTATTACCCACATGGAAGTTTCTTTGATCATAGTTTTGACATACTTTCATGGCGGGTAAATTTGATTAATAACAAAAATACAAATAGAATAATAATGTGTATATCCGTATAAATAAAGGTTAATTCTTAATTTTTAATGAACATATTAATTAATTAATATTAATATTTAATAATATGTGAAATAGGTTTATGAGAAAGGGACGTTTAAAAGCTGATGTTATCACGAAAATTAAATATAAAAATAAAAAATGTTATACATAAATGTACGCATATGATTTGAAATAAATGTGACATTATTTAATAAAATTATATATATTTTAATTTTTAACAATTACAATATTTTTAAATATACAAAAGAAGTACATTAATTCCTTTGTTTCATACATTTTATTGTAGACCTGAAAAACGATCAATATATATTGTTAATAAATGTTGAAACTCCTAAAATATTCACAACTGTATATATTGATCATATAAGGTCTTCATTAAAGGCTAAATCTTTCAAAAATTTAAATAACTATATGAAACTAACAATTTCCTTTAAGTAGTATTGTTTATATTGTAATTATTTATTGTAGATAAAATTACTTTTCTTTTCTCTCTTATACTGGCTTATTTATAATACTTCTTGTTTTTATGGTCGAAATTTTGTTGACAACCTGATTAAACACATTAAAAATATATAAGTTGTATTCTTAAACAATATATTGCATTTATATATTGTGTAGATATTAAATGATATTTGCATTGATTCCATCAGAATTAATTGTAATAAATATAATACAAACTTGTTAAGAAATTTGACCATGACATAAAACTGATAAAGGCTATTCTAATACTAAAAGACTTGAGACATACAAAGTTCTTTACATCTTTGCTCTTATTTTTCAATATTTACAACAAATTATTTCGTTGCTACATATTTGAGAAAATAATGCTATTTAAACTTCGATGTACTGAATGTACATATTCGAAACTGCAATGATTCTCTAGTTTTGGCAATTTATTCGTCTTGTGGCGATACAGTTTGACTGTAACACATAGTGCTGATACAAATGTTGTAACAAAAAAAAACATAATTAAAAACTTTCATTGAATTTCTTCTTTTTTAAAGAAAAAGCGAGTAAAAAACGGCAGTGTACCAATTATGTCGAGTGTGCAAGCAAAACTTAAATATGTTACATTTTTATGTACAAGTAGATTGCATTATTTCTTTTGTTTCAGAAACCCTTAATTAACCTTAGCGATTTATATTTACGAGTTTCACGATATAATCTACAATAAAAATAACGAAAATGATATAAATCTAAATTAAGTAAATAGAATATTAAAGTACAGTAGTACGGAATGATATCTTCCTGGAAAATATTTTGTGAACAGATGATCAAAGTTTATGCTGATAGAAATTTACAAAGCCTGAGTATTTTATGACAATAATTGAGATGATCATTCATCGAATAATTTGAATGTGAAAGACTTAATTGTTGTACTTAACTTCTTCTTCTCTAATAAACATCACAGATTGTATAGTATTATAAAGTATTTTGTATCTTCAAATCATGTACATGAATTTATTACACTATATCTTTCATTTAATGGGATGCTACATTTATTTCAATAAAATTAAGCTTTCTTAAAAATGATCTTCGTTTGATGAATAGGAAATGTTAGATGTTTGTAGGCATTATAATGTAGGATGAGTGGAAGGCGATTCATTCTCTTCATCTTCCTCTAATTCATCATCTGTGTCTGGGGACAAATGTTCTCTTAGAACTAAGGAACGCATTTGTTCTAATACCTGATGCAGCGAGTCTCTTTGTTCCATTCTATCATTTAGGGGTGTAGCATCACCACTTGCTGTTCCACCCGCTGGTGTTTGTGGTGTATTACTTGGAGGTACTGGAGTATTTGTACCATCTCCTGTACCTTTAAATATAAAATCATATTATCCAAATAATCAATATTAATAAATATTACAAAGTTGTAATACGTGATATTAAAGCTTTAATAAATGAAAATATTTACTAAACATTATACCCATATCATCGCTTGCAGGACTAGCTGGTCTTTCTGCTCCTCTTACTTCTCTAATGATTTCTTCATCTTGATGATTTAATCTTAAACCTGCAACTCCTTTTTTAGGTACATTATATAAATCGCGCTTAATTTTTCTTCGTCTAGAAGGGTCATTTCTACGTAATTGAAGCATCGAACCAAAATCAGCAATATAAAGAAACCCAGCAATTAATAATTCACAATTCCGTTTGCCTTGTTTGTATGCAGTTTCGAGTTCATGGCTCGTACGCTGATCATATTGCCACCAACCTGCAACAATATAATTGAAATATTACACAAGTTATGTCTTCTACAACAGGAAGGAAATAACAAATGATGTCCACAAACATTTTAATGTTGTAAGAGTACATAGAAAATATATAACACTTTCATTAGAGGGATCACAAAGAAAAATAACTTATATTCTGGAATATAGAAATTTTATTACAAATATACATTAAAACTAAATCATAATTTTTGTAACAAAATAGTGGAGTTTTGTATTTCTTATATCATACCAAGAAATTTTATTATATACTCTATGTAAAACTATAATAGATTTATTAGCTATTGTATGTCTTCTATATATAAATAAGTTTTAAAAATGCTTCATATCAATCATAGATAAAAAGATGTGCAAAATACAACCACTTATTTTATTCCTGAAACACCTTTGCAAGGTGCGTCTTTTCTGTCCCGCTTAATATTACGTTTATAATGTGGTTGATGTTTTCTATACTGACATTTATTTTTAAAGTCAACTACATAAAGCATGCCGCAAATTAAAATTTCACACTGGGTGCTACCTAGGTTGTAAATAGCTTCCAAATCCTCGCTGGTCCGTGAATCATATTTCCACCAACCTATGAATGGGTAGGACATAAACTTCTCTATAACTTTATCCAATGTTTTTAACAAATAACGAAGAAACTAATGTTTTATTTTTAATATAATTAAAAAAAAATAATTTTATTTGTAACATATAATATTTTTTGTATACTCATAAACCTTTTCTTTAAAAGATAAATATGTATTAATAAAACTTCCCCTGCATTATTATATTTAATAAATGAAATTAATGTAGACAAAAACAAATATTTTACCATTTCGACCTTCATAAAACCACTGATATTCTTCTTCGAAATGCTCTGATTCTTTTTGTGCTTCGTCAACTTCCACTAACTGAGGTCTGTTAAGAAAATCAGGAGGAATTTCTTGGCGACACATAGGACACCTTTTGCTTTGGTTTGCAACACCTTTGACACAGAGATAACAATATATGTGATTGCAAGGCAATCTTGCAGGATATATACATGGTTGAAGACAAACTGCGCATTCTAATACTGTTGTTGAACCTAATAAACAAATAAATAATTTCCTGATTATTTTAAAGGATATAAAAAAAAGTAAAAACATAATAAATAATGTAAGACACTCGAAAGAAATATTTTAAGCAAATTATCATTAAATCGATTAGTAATCAAATTAACATAATAATAAAAACAAAGAATAATTAAAATATAATAGAAATATATCTTGCAATAATTTGAAAATAACTAGTTTAATATACCATCTTTCTCGTCGCTCTCTTTTTCTTTGTCATTCAGCGTTCCGCTTGTTTCCTCTTGAGAGTTTAGCTTTGCTTGAGCCATAGTTCGATACACAGTTTAATTCTTCATTAAATAAAATTATTAATTTTGTAAACAGTTAAATGCATTCATTTAAATGGAACAGCTCATATCTACCGTAACATTTGTAACCCATCTCTGTTGTTTATGACATGTCAGGGGTTCTGATTGTGAAATTAAAACTGGCTAAACACGTATGAGAACCACTTAAACGCATTTCAGCGCGCGACACGCAGCGCCACAAGAAAATTTCAAAACTTCCTACGAACTTTAAAAAAATTATGTTAAAGTTAAATCATATTTAATTCTACACATTCACCTAGAATTATACATGACTATTTTAAAAAGAAACTGTAGCATGTTCTATAAATAACTTTTTAATAAAATAATTAAAAGCTTAGAATATTGAATACTTTTTAAAAATCCATACAATTTCTTTCATCAACAAAATGTTGCATTCGAGCAGATTTCCATTTCTGTTATATTACTATTTAATAGGTATGTTACGCTTTGATATATGATGACGAAGTTTCAATTTTATAATAGATTATAAATGATTTTGCTCTAAACATCTTTACACAACTTTCAAATTGAATAATTTGATCATTTCGAATTTGGAGTTAGGAAAACGAAATATAGAAATTTAAAGATAAGCATTTCATGAGATAATCACAGATCCTGGGAAACAAATTTTCGAAAACTCAAAATTACTCCAAATTAAACATTAATTATCTCATCATTGAGAGTAGTCCATTTGACTGTTCTCGGTTAGGCTCCATTGTAAAAAATTTATTGCGCATATCTATCTTATACCATTTAGGACTGCATAGCGGATAAAGGTTAACTGATTAATTCCCAGTGCATAGCACGGGCATGATACAAGATAATAATTAAATGATTAGACAATAAGTTTAATTATTTATTGTTACCTAACAAACCCAACAGAAAAAAAAAACAAATATGCAAAAGAGACAATTCGAATCAAGAGAACAAGCGAATTCCTGGAATTTGACGTCACTAAAATTCCAGGAAGTGGCACGAATACCTCCTCACAACTTATGTTCTCCTGATACAAATTTCCAACATCGGGCGCCAGAATTTCAAAAATCCTGCCCGGGCGTTCCTGGAATTTGACGTCACAAAAATTCCAGGAAGTGGCACGAATACCTCCTCACAACTTATGTTCTCCTGATACAAATTTCCAAAATCGGTCGGTGGGATTTCAAAAATCCTGCCCGGAAATTCTTGGAATTTGACGTCACAAAAAGTCCAGGAAGTGGCACGAATACCTCCACACAACTTATGTTCTCCTGATACAAATTGCCAAAATCGGTCGCCAGAATTTCAAAAATCGAGCCCTGAGAATTTTTGAAATGTCGTTATAAAAATTCCATGAAGCACAAAGGTTATCTTGACATAGTGCAGGGTTTTCCTGTACATAACATATTTTCAGTATTTTGTTCTTTACTCTTTATTTTTTAAGATTTGGGCAATTTCTGAGGATCGGAATGACGGGATGTATAAATAAGTAAATATGCAAATACAAATTTTTATTCATATTTATTTGCAAATAGTTTTGTACATCAAATGACTTACTATATTTTATTAATAGATATGTACATTATTAACACTTAATTCTAGGACGCAATTATCATAATAATATGTACATATTAGTTTGCGTTGTAATACAGGATCTTGTAGAAATCTAAAAAAAATTGTTGGGAGGTTAAAGGTAATGTAGCAATTAATTTGCGTCTAAGAAGTTGAAGACAACTGTAAGTTATGGAAGAAATGTGATGAATACATAAATGGGACGATTGTTCTCTTGGGCTGTATTAAATGTCGTTCATATTAGGCTATTTGGCACGTATTTGCCCTATCTGAATGCTCCCTTATGCAGGTTCGACGCAGCGCCATCTAGCAGTGATACGCGGTACTACAATAGAAACTTCTCTGATGGTATATTACCGTTGATGTGTAACCAATTATTTACCGACAGAACCCGGTCGGTACTTTACACGCGATCATCATAGTTCAGCAGTTTGTTGTTAGATGGCGCTGCTAACAGCATTTGTGGCGGTTTTTTTAAAAGATTGTTTTCTTTATTATTGATGTATTTATATGAATACGTATCAAGATGAGTTTTGTTATCAAAGTCGTCGATCAAGAAAAATTCTATTTGTACTTGTGAACAAATGATTAATGTTTAAAGTACCGTATATTAATCATTTTTCAAAGCCCTAAACTAATTAATTTGACAATTTCTACATTTCTGAATTACAGCATTTAAGATGATGGTAAAGGATGAAATATAGTTATGCTGTAATGTACAGCATGTGAGTAGGTATATTTGATTTTTATTGAATGATGTATTTAATATAACAGTTGTATAGCTAAAACCAATCTCAGTATAAATATACATCTATATACAAACATATGGCTTACATCTTAAATAAAATTATAGTACAATGTACAATTCCTATTTTACGTGTTAGACGGCATAAAATACTGTTAATAATTAATCAAGGTATGCAGTAAATTAATTAATTTATAAATCGTCAAGCTTGGTTTACGAAACATTTGGCAGTTTCTTGGTTTTTCATAAATCGTAGGTACAAAATGCGACAACCCTATTACCTCGTTTTTTATTTCTTTAAATATTATACGCACTATTATCGATGTTCACTCAAAACTTAAATCTCGTACAATAAGTACTTACATAGGAAAGAAACTCGAACTCGCATCGCAGAATTTGACATTGCGAAACGTGAAAGTACCCAATACACCGGTCAGTATCACAGCTACTCTGCTCTTTCGGTTCGAATGTAAATTACAATTAAACGGTCCTGCCATAATTAACCCGATCTGATATATGTGCGCAGTTTCAAGAGGAAAAAGAGAATAGCTTAATGCGATTTGACGCTATACAACGTGTTGACTACAGCTACGTAGGAAACTTTAGTTTCTGCAACGTACTGTAACCGAACGCATTTACGCGTGCGGTGAGAACTAGACTTTCGTGTCACTCATCGACATGTGTCGTCAATGAGCAGAGGAAATCCTTTGGTCCAACACATTCTCCTCAATAAATCAATATTCATCCGGAGATCGTACGGCTGTTTGTTCACTCGTGCGTTTAGGAATCATTGTAACCTTTAAATAATTGCTGTAAGTGTATATAGGTTTGACTTTTATATCTAACTGTGTCTGGATCCTTTATTAATTTCTTGCAACACCACATATCATGATATTTGGCAATGCTCCGCGACGTCTGCGCCATGCACCGAGAGATTGAGCGTGCGCTTGTAACGTTCTACACCATCTTTTTGTTCTGGCTCCGTCTTCGGCCTATAATCAAAAAAGATATTTATTCAATTTAATGATATTTAGTGAAATAAATGTCTTTTTGAAATAAAAACTTGCTTGTGGTAGAGAAGTAGAGAAAGTAAACATGTAAGGTTTTAATTTAGGAATTTAGGAATTTAGAAGTTAGGAAAATAGAGACTTGAGAGCTTGTGAAGAGTTGGTGAATTGAAAATTGAAAACCTTGAAACTCAAACTAGGGTTTGGAAATTTAGAAACTTGGAGAAATATTTTTGAGGAACTGGACAGTTGGAAATTTGAGAATTTAGTGAACTTGAAAACTTAATTATGGAATTGAAAAATTTGGGAATCTGAGATTGCAAAATGTGAGAGTTTTGAGATTTGAAAATTTAGGAATTTAGGAATTTAGGAACTTGGAACTTGTAGATCTGGAAATTTAAAAATTTGAGAATTAAAGAATATGGAAAATTTGAGAATTTATGATTTTCCATAAGAATTTACAATTAGAAATTTAACATTCCTTTCAATAACAGAAAGTTACCTTAAATATAAAAGTTTCCTTGGACGACAATTCTTGAATTTCGAAATAATCTTCAAGGTCTGTTTCACAGCATACAATACACTTATCAAGATACAATGGTTCCTAAAATGAACAATAATTTTGTAAACTTATATCCAAATTTCATGTCTCAGATTCAAAAGTGTAAACTTACACGCAATAAAGAGTAACGACCAAGTTTTTCTTTGACCAACAGAAGGGTAGCTTCTTTGATACCTATGTGTCTCGGAAAAAGGGAGTCGTCGTTAAATTCAAGGTCCTCCCCATTTGGCTGTGAATCATAAATATTACATGTAAATAAATTACACGCTGAACATTCTTAAATATATAATAAAAAGATAGAAATAGTTACTTTGCCATTAGTAACCAACATGGCAGTAACAGGAGCTAGCTTGACAGTCCGTCCGCGTCTCCAATTATTATCTGTTGGTTGTGCAACCAAAAGTCGTCCTTCCAAAACGAATTTCGCTTCTTCGTGAGCCCATTCTAATACTTCCACGGCCATCTATTATGACAAATATATAATTAATATATATTTCAATTTTATAAATATTTTAGATACTTTGTATTTTGAGTGTAAGTGGATTTTTTAGGTGCGCTAGGACTTCTAGCCATTTTTAATATTCTGTATAAATGTTTCGTGTTAGGCAAAGTAGACATGATTTTTGGAAATTTGAGAATCTATGGAATCTGGAAATTTTGAAGTTAGGGTATTGAGGAATTTGGTAATGTGAGTATTTGGAAATTTGGGAATTTGGTACTTTGGTAAGTGAGAAATGTGAGAATTTGAGGTTTTGGAAATTCAGAAATGTGAGAATTTGGGAATTTGGAAATTCAGAAATGTGAGAATTTGGGAATTTGGAAATTGAGATAGGTGAGAATTTGGGAATTTTGGAATTTGGTAATGAGAGAATTTGGAAATTTGGGAATTTGGTACTTTGGTAAGTGAGAAATGTGAGAATTTGAGGTTTTGGAAATTCAGAAATGTGAGAATTTGGGAATTTGGAAATTCAGAAATGTGAGAATTTGGGAATTTGGAAATTCAGAAATGTGAGAATTTGAGGTTTTGGAAATTCAGAAATGTGAGAATTTGGGAATTTGGAAATTCAGAAATGTGAGAATTTGGCAATTTGGGAATTTGGTAATGTGAGTATTTGGAAATTTAGTACTTTGGTAAGTGAGAAATGTGAGAATTTGGGGTTTTGGAAATTCAGAAATGTGAAAATTTGGGGTTTTAGAAATTCAGAAATGTGAGAATTTGGGAATTTTGGAATTTGGTAATGTGAGAATTTGGTAATTTGGTGATTGAGAAGTGTGAGAATTTGGGAATTTGGAAATTCAGAAATGTGAGAATTTGGAAATTTGGTAATTTTGGTAATGTGAGAATTTGGAAATTTGGGAATTTGGTAATTTGGTAATTGAGAATTGTGAGAATTTATGAATTTAGGATTTTGTAATTTTGAAAATTTATAAATTATTAATATAATGCAATTGATGTATCCTACATTCACATATCATTTACATAGTTTTCAAATCCTTGAATTACCTTCCTCAACTTGATGTTGACCATATCCTGTTCACCAATGGGTCGTCTACCATTTTGTATAATCGAAATTCTCCTCCAAAGCTTCGTCGAAGTTACGTCTTTCGCTTCCTGCAAAATCGTTCAATAATTAAACGCAACAATTACCTAATACTCGAAATACATAAATAAATATATCTACAGCATTCATGTGTTCCAAATGCAATTCTATATTAGCCTGTGCTTGTTTTAGTCTTTCTTTTGCTTCTTGAATATCTGGTCTTACGGATGGCGTGGCTTTCAATAATCGAGCCAGCAGAAGAGGATATTTTGTTACTCTTTGAACTGGAACCTGAAGGAAGAAAAAAGATATATTAATAGATGCACGATTAGTATTCAAGGAATATTCAATTTTGTTTACTCGTACCATGAGGAAAGAATTCAAGTTCATCCTACGTAGAACTGTGTTTTCCATTTGTGAAACTCTCAGAAAGATTCGCAGTAACTCTTTCTCTTTCTCTAAGTTCTGTAATAATAAACTTGCGCTTCCTTGACGGGTACAGTAACTTTCAAAAGCGTGAAGCATTCGTTCGGACTCTAAGAAAATTTTTCCGACGTCGACTGTCAACAGATCTTCGTCCCCTGACTCCTGTGTGACATTAATGGATCGTAAATTATTTAAAAATGTTATTCATCACGTTAAGTGTTTATTAAATTTTATTTATTGCACGTCAGATGCTTATCAAATTTTAATTAATATCATTATTATGTAAAATTATATTTAATAAAAAGTATTATGTTTTTGTAGAAACAGTATTATAAATTATCATATTATTGATCGAATATTTTATTTTTCTTCTAATGTTTATAATAAAAAAATTGTTATTTAAATTATATTAAATAACTTTTATTTTGGGGAAGTATTGTAAAAATTTCTCAATTAACAAATTTGACGATTTATTAGTTTATAAATTTGGAAACTTCCAACTTTATAATTTTGAAAGTTTATAAACCTTAAAACTTGAGAATTTGTAATCTTAAAATTTTCTCAATTTTTCAATTAATAAACTTGATAATATATCAGTTTGTAAAGCTGAAAATTTCTAAATTTGTAACTTTCTAAGACTATCAATTTTGAGTTTCCAAGACTTGTGTTCATAATTTGAAAATATATAAACTTTGAGTTTCTAGAATTTGTAAATTTCGTGCTTTAAAAATTAGTAAATTTCTTAATTAAAAAATTGAGAAATTTTCAAGTTTACAAACTCTGTAATATATAAAATAATAATTTGTCAAGTGGTAAATTTGTAAATTCGTAAAGTATTAATTAGCAAATTTGAAACTTGCATTTAATGCAGAATATTATGTTCATACAACTCGTATAACAAGACTGTACTCAACAATCATCGTCTAACTATTATTTAAGAGAAAATAATTTTATGTTCACCTGAGCAAATTCCACGGCATCTTTCAGTTTCTCTGCAAGTACAAGGTTATGCTCTAGAAGTTCCTCGACGTTGAGAAAAATTGCTGTAAGTTGATCAGAAGTTAGAAGGCCAGCCCTCAGCATAGGTCGATGAAATTCTTCTAGTATGATTTGCAAATCTCTTCCATATTTCAGTTCAGTCTCTACGATTTCTGTAATGATTTCTTTACGTTCCACTCTTTTTTTGGAACATTTTCTGCATACGAAAGGAGCGTACACCACACCACTGTAAGATAAAAAGAAACACATTATAATAATTATCATTTAAGTAAGATTAGAAACATATGATCCATAAATGATTAACATAGTTATTATTTAATTATTAAATTTTGTTATTATTACTAATAATTACTGTTTACTAACAGGTACTGTTATTTGGCATTATTTTTATTTTTTATACTTTCAAAAATTAATTGTTACTATTAATAGTTACTATTAACTATTTAATATTACTATTTCTATTTTCTACACATTCAAAAATTAATGGTTACTATTAATACTACTATTCAATATTACTATTTGTATTTTTTACAGTTTCAAAAATTGTTATTGTTAAAATTAGTTACTGCTAATACTACTACATACTAATAGATACTACTACTTAACATTACTATTTCTATTTCTTATAATTTCAAAAAATAGTGGTTGCTATTAATATTACAACATACTAATAAATACTACTACTTGATATTGCTGTTTCCATTTTTTATAGTTTCAAGAGTTATTGGTTATTATTAATATTACTCATAGGTTTTGTTACTTGATATTACAATTTATATTACAATATAATATACTTGATATTACAATATTACAGTTTTACAAATTAGGGTTGGATATTATATAGTTCGTTATTACTAATAAATTTGTGAATGCTCCTTTATACAATAATTTGTTGGAAGTTAACGTGCATATTCGGTAATAAAACTTTCGCTTACAACGGTAAACAGAATTAGTAGTAGGAGAAAGTTCGAGTCAATGATTCTAAGTATTTGTTACGTACTTTGTCTTTCATGAGTATTATTGAAATCGTGTGCACGCTATTCCGACAAGTTTTCTTCTTGAGAGACTATCGATCATCACTTCTGTTATTAATGTATTATACTAATTTAATTTTTGCAATATATTTAAAATAGTGTAATATTCGATACGTGCATGTATACTGATTTAATACATGTATGCAATAGTATATACTAATTTATCAAGATTATTTTTATTTTTTCTAAATGCATTTTTGAATTCATTGAATACATTTTTCAATTCAAATGGATTTTCAAATTAAATTATTCCATATATGTATGTGACATTAATAAGAAAGTAATTCCTATTAAAAAAATTTATTTATAATTTAATATATCGTCTAAATTTTGTTTATATTATATTATATAATATTGCAAAAGGCAATATAAAAAATTGTAATTATGAACGATAAATATTTTAAACAATTTCGTTATTTATATAATTTGTTATTTACGTTTGACAAAATTCTATTTTATGTAACCTGTCTTTAATAGCATAGGTATGTCATTAAATGTATACGAATATTAATATAATTTTCAACATGTATTTATAATAATTTTAATTTCTGATATTTTGATGTTTCAAAATGAAATTCACGTAAGTTCAAGCATGAAGTCACTCAAGTAATTCAAAAACGATTATTCTTCATTATTATTAATTTATTTTCTATTAATGAGCAAGTCGTAACAACTTTTTTAGTATCCAAAAGCTCGAGTCACAATGATCGGCAGTTTTATTTATTCACAGTCTTGTATTTATTGAAACGAAGAAGTTGTGTAACAAAATTTTCAATTTACTTGGAAAATTGATTTATTTCAATATAAATGAAATTGGAATTTCACATTTCACAGTTTTCTATTAAAGTATAATACGTATCACTTTGTAGCAAATGCAGTTGAGTACAAAGGGTTAATAGAGATCTAAAATGGAAAAAAGAAAGTTTGTTGCAGACGTGTACCGTGAAATTGAAAGTAATAATGATGAATTTCATTTACTCTTCAGACGCTTCCTTTGATTCAAACAGTGATAACTAAGAAGAAAATTAAGGGAAGTAGATGTAGCAAATTAATTATTTGAAATCAACCAAAATCAGAATTTTAACGATTTGAACAATAATTGTATATAAATAAAGAAATAATTTTGTATATCAAATAATCTTTAATACTAAGCAACAAAAATAATTTCTAATATTAAATAGAAAAAAATAGTTCTCAATGTAGAATAAAAAGGATAATATTAAATATCAAATAAACCAAAAAAAGTTTAATATTAAATACAAAAATAATTTGACATTAATAAAACCAATAATCTTTAAAATTAAATATTTCTTAAAAAACTATGAAACATTCTTATGAACCATAAGAAATATGAAATATTCTGGTGAATGATAAAAAATATTATTAAAAATATGAAATATTTGTGTAATCCAATAAAAAATATCAGAAATATAAAATATTTGTGTGATTCAATAAAGTATCTAAAAATCTAATGTAGATATAAATGTAAAGGGTTAAAGTTGTAAAAGAATAAAGAACAATATTTGCTCTCCATAAAAATTTCACTTCATCTTTATCCGACAGGTATGCCTTAATGTTTTAGCAACATGATCGTTTCACCTGTCAGTTATTAAAGGATCCAAACGTTGTTCGCAATCTTCGCAGAGCTTTGAATCACCGGAAATCACTTGTGGGATTCCACCGAGGAGACTTCCTGGTCCCGAAGAGACATTTCCTGTTCTCCAACGTCTCGGCACGCCTCGAGTGCTGCTAGCCTGACTACTTTCTGATCCCACTCCACTATCAGTTCTTTCTATATCTACAGCCCTTGCCTGCAAAAATCCATTATAATTCGTGTCACAGTTTTTCAGACATTTACTTCCACTAATACAACAAATTTTTGATTAATAATATAGATATGATTTTATTGCGTGACCAAATGTAGGTCCATATCAAGATTTTTTGAATCTGGTTGATCTGATTGATCGTGATTAAACTGATTGATCAAATCATGATTAAAAATTAAGAGGTACAGCAATAAAATTTTGCGATAAAATTTATAATGAAATGAAGCTTTTAAAAATTGATGTTCATTGTAAATAAAATTGAATAATATTTAAGATTAATAAAAGGTAATAATTTAATTAGTAATGTAACGTAATAATTTAAGTAATATTGGAAGACAGATATAAATTTTTATTTCTATATATTAATAGATACTATTGATGCTTGTTCAGCAAACATAATATTAGTAGTTAGTATTTTAACAATATCTCTTTAAATTTTAGTGGTTTTAGTCCAATTTATATCAAAATGAATTTTGTAATTGATAATTCAAGAATTTAGGAATTTGCCACAGCTCAAGGGTAGTTATATGATAATTTGGTATTTTTTAAATTTTACAATTTAAGAAGTGAAAATTTGACAATTTAATCTCTGGAAAATTCGACATAAATTTAATAACTTAATAACGAAAATGAAGAAGTTTAAAAACATTAGAACCTGAATTTGTTAAATGATTTAAAATCTCACCTATGATTTTGCTAAATTCTGTTTCCTAAATTATATTAAATTTATATGAGATCAATATTAAGCGTGTACAAATAAAACTTACCTTTGATGTTTCCGACGAGCTAGTCAATATAATATTGCATTCCTCGCTGCTGTCAGAAACATTAGAAATCTGCGAGCTTTTCGAGCTGAGATCTCCAAGACTAGTCTCCTTCTGTTCATACAAAGCCTCCAAATCCCCCTCGGTATCCTCTTCATCCTCTTCATCGTCGTCCTCCTCCTCTTCAACCGAGATCGCTCGATCTTTCGAGTCCATCAAAAAATTCAGTAACTCGAACTTGCTGGAAATATTTTCCTTCTCCGGCGACGTGGACATTTTCTTGAAGAAATCCTCTGGACTCTTCGACAGATAGTTCTCCGTGATATCTTCAGGATTAGATTTCTTGAAGACATTGTCCGTTAAGTAAGTGTCGAGGAACTGTTCAGAATTGTTCTTCCTATAATAATCGACGTCACCGAAATAAATTCTATCCTTGATATAGTCCTCTGTCGGTGGCGGGCTCAACGGCAGCGGCGGAGGTTCATCAGGGATCTCCTCGTAAATGGGTTCCTTGATTACCTCGTAAGGATTCTCCTCGAGGAACAAATTCGTCGAGATGAAGTCACCTTCCGAATTCAAGCTGCTTGCTCTCGAATAATTAGCCTCGAGAGTCGATTCAGAACTCTCGTACTCCTTGGTCTTCAACAAGCTCTGCTTCAGGATCTTCAAGATAGCCTCGCCGCTATCTTCGTTCAATATCTCCCCATTTTCCCGCGCTTTTCGCAGCGAATCCTCGAGCAACTTCGAGATCAACGCTTCTTTCGAAAGTCCGGACAGCTTCGACTTCTCCGGCTCCTTCTGATCACTCTTCTGATCGCTCACGTAGAACTTCGCGCTTTTCTCGGTACTGACGGGTTTGCTATCGGAATCCGAAGTTTTGTCCCCAGCTTTGTTAGTTTTGAGAGGAACATCCTCGACGGACTCTGTCTTTTTCGTATCCTCTTTGCCCGTCTCCACGACGATGTTCGACTTGTAGTTCTCCAGGATGACGAGCGTGCGATTCTCGCCGGAGGTTTTTATCCGAGGAGGATTATCCGAGTTGACGGAAATCACTGTAGGATTGTAGACACTGTCCTCTCCTCCGACGCTAATGGTCACCTTGTTGTCCGGCGTTGTTTCGGCTGCGCTGGGCGCCGTGGCGTCACCGTTGATCAAAATGGAGGTCCTCCTCGAGCCATTGGTGCCGGGACCGATTTGTAACCGATGGACGAGAGGTGAGGCTCGAGGACTCACCGTGATCTTGTACACGTTGTTCTCCGTTGTCGGTGTACCGATCTCCACCTTCGAAGAATTGTAGGAACTCGACGTGTTCCAGGTGGTCTTCAACGTTGAACTCGTTTCGGACGGATCGAAAACTTTAGTTTTTATACCAGGATCGCTGATCCTGTAACGGTGTTTCGGTTTTCCAGGAGGAGGAGACCAGCTGGTGGGTCGCATCCCTCGGAAGTGATCGTTGTTTCTTTCAAAAGTGCTAGGAGATTCTCGCAATTGTTCTGTTTCCGTTTTAATCGTTTGTATCCTGTCTTCTACCGCTTCCTCTGCTTCCTTGGCTTTCGACGACTCTTGTTCAGTCGAGTCGTCGGGGCTCACGTTTTCTATGGTTTCTTTCGACGATTCGATCGAATCTTCTTGGTGAAGCGTTTGCTCGCTCGAGTTTAACGAGGACGATGTGTCTTTCAGTTTTCTGCAAAGGCTGATACGCATGGTGTCCATGAAAAACACGTCGGCAGCCGATACTTCGGGTCTGTTGGACGATCGTTCGCTTTGACTGCGCGATAATGGCGGTCTTTTCGAATTCTCTGCAACTTTATTAAAAATTTACGTGTCATATTATTATTTAAATTAATCTTTTATATATCTGGACATTCTGTAATTTTTCTGTGACAGAATTTGACCGGTTTTTACGTGGTTTTGTATAAATTTTACATCTTCACTCTTTACAGTTTATTGTAAAAAAAAATAATTTAATTCAATCCCTCATTGATTTTTTTTTAGAATAAGTTTTAGTAATATTGAACTGGTTCATGAATTATAGAACATCTTACATTAAATCAGATATGATTTCTTAATATACGAGTACTGTTAAATATTTATTAGTTGCATTTATTAATTAACATATTGATACATATTAAGCTAGTTAGAAATTTGAAATTCAACAAAAATCATTGTATACAAATTTAAAAAAAAATGAAATGTTTTATCAATGTGCTTCATACAAAATGGCTGTTACTTCATTTGTTGAAACAAGACAGTTTATTAATATTCTTCAGTAAAAAATATTCGATTTCAACTCATTTATGTATAACAAACAACAAGAATTCTGTATCATACTTTTTTATCTAATATTATTCTAACACAATATATAATCAATATAATTATTTAAAATGATTTATATGATAACTATAGTTAATATGAATATGCAGTTTGATTCATTCATTTTTTATTAAGAATTTTAATGTTCACTTATGATATATCATTATTTTCATGAAACATTGAATGTTAAAAGCATCCACTTTAATTTTGTTTGCAAATAAAAAGCGCTACACCTTATTACGAGTAATCAGATAAGACAAAAAGATAACATTACTCTTCACAACTAACAAGACGTGCACAAAAAACCGTACGGAGTACTGTACGAGTAAAAATAAAAAAGATGAATCATTCAAGAGATAATTTTAAGTTCAATAGTAATTTATGCCAAACAAAAAATATGTGAACCTATCATTCGGTAAACAAGGTCTGCCATTGTACAAAATATAATCACTCGCAGGTGAATAGCCATGAAAAGAAGAGAAAACGTGTGAGATCTCTGAAAAGGATAATTACACGCTCGTGATACACAGAGAAAGGAGCACTCTGCAAACTGTCTGATGATTTATGAGTTTTAAGGCCAAAATATTTTTCGTGAAATTGTCATTGTTAACGAAAATAATTTTTACTCGATGTTTTTTGAAACTCGAATACAAATTGATTGCTCGAATGCTTCCGGAGGATACAAAATCATTAATTATACTTAGAATAATTTTCATCCAGATTTAAAATTTTGGTCTTCGTTGCATGTTCGTTGTTGACATTTTAATTTTGTTTTAATTTTAAGTTTTAACAATTTTAAAGCTTTTAAAGGTTTAATAAAATTTTAGACTAGTTTTAGATTAGTTTGAACTTGTATAAAAAAAAAAAATATGAAAAGAAAGAAGACAATGACGCGAAACAAGATAAAATAGATTAGAATGTATCAAGTTGAATAATTTCAATAAACTGCTAATTTACACTGAAATATCTTAATGTGGAAAGTAAAAAATTATGACATATATATCTATCTACATATCTATAATATAGACATTAGTTAATTGCGTACTACCACAGCAAAAATAAATAATAATAAAAAAGTACGAAACAAAATAAAAAAAGAAATACTCTCACCCTCAGATTTCAGTATCAAGTCCTTTTCATCGACGGCAATTCCAGGAATGCGATTTTCATGTTCCTCGATCTCGATCTGCATCTCCGTATCCTCCTCCATCTTGTCCACGTTCACTTCTTCCGTTATCCTTTTCCTTTCCTCGATTTCTTCCTTGTTATTCTCGTGTCTCACCGGATGAACGGTCGTCTGATCGGCAAAGCTTCTCGAAATATCCTCGCTCTTTCGCGTCGGCTCCTCTTTCTTCTTCTTCGCGAAAGCACGCTCGGCATTGCCGGGAGGTATAAATTTATCTACCTTAATCCCGTCCATGTAAACGGGGTTTTGGCACATATCCTGCGCGATTCTGGGCTCCTTCAGTCTGACCCTGTCCTCCTTCGGATCCCTGATATTTGGAATAGTGATGAAATTGTACTTTTCCCTTTGTTCGTGCGACGTTATTGGCACCTCCTCCTCCTCCTCTTCGTCGTCCTCTTCCTCCTCCACAGACTCGTCATTGTCCCTTTGTTCTCTGGCAGAGACGCAGATCCTGCCGATTCTGCTCCAGGACAGTCGGGTCACCTCCGACGGCTTCTCAGGAGCGAATATAACGTTGTCGACGTTGAACAGAACGTTCTTTCTTCTGGTCTCGACCACTTTGCCCCGCTTCAGGATACTCTTCAACGTTTGTTTGGCTTCCTTCAACCGCCTCGGCGGCCGTTTCGGTGAAACCTTTGGTATGGGAATCCTGGTGACCGGTGGGATCTCTTCGTCGTCCGAGATTTCCCGTGGTTCGTTGAACACCCTGATTCGTTGACCGCCGATCGCCGCCACCGCACTCCTGTTCGGTATCCTCTCGATCGATTTCACCTTCGACGAATCGAACAGGCTCGAGAGGGGTCTATTGTCCTCCTGTTCGAGCGCGTTGTCCGACAGATCGTCGCTCAGATCGTCCTCGTCCTTGTGCTTCTTCAGTAAAAGGTACGGATTCACGTCGCACTCGAGGATGCTCCTCCTGGAATCGCCGGCGCTGGACGGCCTCTCTTTCCACATCTCATCCTGGCTCTTCGTCTCCGTTCCTTTTACCACCACACGATCCGGCCAATCTCTGCCTTTGATCTTCTTCGGTATCCGAACCAGCCTGCCTGGCGTCGTGGAAGTCGATTGACCTCGTGGCTGATCCGAAGAAGGCGCCTCCTCTAACCAATCGTCGCCGGTGGATACACCAGTGAAGCTCGCTCGTGACTTTCGCGCCGTTTCCTCGTAACTCGCTTCTTTGTCGAACCATTCGGACCTCGAGCAGGTACCCTCGATCGAGCTTTTGCGCTCCTTCGGGTTCCTTGCCACACTCTGGCTCCGGGAATCCCGCTGGGACAACGGCCGGTGCGGCGAAATACTGCGAGCCCGTGTCCGAGGTTCCATCAGACGGTTCCGACGCATCTGGTCGTACGGATCGTCTATCGGTGACCTCAGAACTCCTGCGGATTTTGTATTTAGATTAATCGAGGTTATTTTATTGGTTAAGTTTGTATCACAAACTTTGTTATGAATTTTTTGGAAGTTCTACTTTTTGTGAAGAACAAGGTTTCATTTTGAACCTTGGTTAATCTTTGATCTTGTTCTCTGCCTTGTTCGTTTTAAACTTTGTTGAGGTTAAAACCTTTAAACAAGATTTTAAAATGAAATCTTGTTTCTAGTGAAATTTTAACAAGGTTTAGAATGAAATCAAAATGGAAATAATTGCAATTACTATGTATAATGCAGGAGGTGCTGGAGGTACATTTTTAATTAGAATACGAAGATGCTATTTGAAATTTTCTTCAGAAATTAAAGAGTTATTAAAGAGTGTAATATGAATGATTAAATAGAAATCCACAAACAGAATAAAAATGTCATTTTTCATTTTTTATATTGTTTGCGTGATTTACTTTGCATATTAAAAGCTATGAACTCTCTAATTAAAATGTTTGACTACTGTAGTACACACATTTCACATATCACATTACCTTAAATTCAATGAAAATCAGCTGAGTACTTAAAATTTTTTACTAACTGATGTTTACAAAAATATATTACATATATTACATTATATATTACTCATATATTACATTAATTAAGAGTATACAGAGAATACTTTCCAAAAACCTTGTACATTTGTAGGTCTAAAACAGACATTTCAATTTGTGTTCAAATTATTTGACAAAGTAATGCTAGTAATTATGTTACATCTACTATCTATAAAAAATTATCTTTATAAACAATAGTGTTCATTGTCTAGATTGTGAAGGAGTGCTAAGTATGTAGTTGGTCGCCATTGTATGTAAAGTTCAGGGGTCTAAGAGGGTTTGATTACATTGTATATGATGTTGCAAAAGAAATTTGATAGCATGGCGGTACTACAGACTGATAGAATTATTTTAGGATTAGCATATCAACTTGAAGCTTAAGCTCGATGAAAATGTCTGTTCATGTCTTCCATTGATATTCTTAAAAATGACAGATGGTCAATGACAATAAATAATGGCTAATGTGCAAATATACAAAGTATACGATTTGACATACAAAGTCGCAAAAGAATATTTGTTTATTACCTCTTTAAAATTTGATGAAGGTAACATAGCTTTTGGTTAATATGTTTACTACAAAATGGCTGTGAGACACACAATACATAAGAAAGTAATAATTTTTAATGTTAGTTGTTGCTTAACAAGTCTAGCGTTACAAAATATCTTTTAGCATACTAATTTACAGTTTAAAGTTGTCGAAAATGTTTGTGTAAACGTTTCATACAAAATGGCTGACTCGAGTAAATAATGTCAAATAGCTTTCAAACTTTTATATTGTATAATAAAATATTTTAATTGTACTAACTGACAATTATAGATATTACGCAAAATTTAAAAATTATTGTTCTAAAAGAAATATGTGATAATTGAAGTATAAACTAAACATGTTAATGGCTAGTAATAATTGTTATGTTATAAATTGTATTATATTTTATGGAAGAGCCATTTATCTTGAGAATGTCAATAAAACATTTATGAAATTATTTTTATAAAAATTTAAGCGTTATATTAATTTGCCATAAGTATATTTATGTTACAAAATTGTGTCAAGTTTTCTATTTTATGAAATTGATTATTTGTTATTTAATGACATAATCCTAATACATAGTTGTTTTTAAAAATAGAACAACTTTGTCTATGAGACAATTTTTATTAAATTTTAAATTTCAAACTGATATAAATAATATTTTACGATATTTTTTCGTCATCAAGTTATGTTATTCGTTTTATATAAGATTTAGATATATTAACCAACTATTGCTTTAAAATGGATGTATTGAAATATGTATTGCGTGTGAAGGTTTTATGTATTGTTTGAAGTATTATGAAACATATCACATCCGACAAACGTGACACAACTTAAAAAAGTATATTTTTCAGAAACGAGAAACTAGTTTCGAACAATATATAAGAATATACATATTGAATTTTTTAAATATTATATAAGAATGTTTCTGGAATATTGCACAACGCAAATCTAACTGCACATATATGCATAATGTATGAACTTCAATTACTATACTGCTATTATTAATATTAATATCTTTATTACTGTTATTATTTTCATAGTAAGACTCATTTATGAAGCACCTTACACTGTCGCATGAATCATAAAAAGCGACATAACTGCTCTTCATCCGCTAAATTATGAAAACAAATGAATAAAATTTTCATAATAATCGAAGAATGTTTCTATACCGTTGACTCGTCAATTGTATTTTTTACGTTATGTCACTTTTGTCATAAGTAGGCGACTTGTTATGGGTGCAGACGTGCAGTTATATAAAATAGCATTTTGCATCTGCGAAATTGCAGTTTCATCCGGTGTACGTGTCACTTTGGAAACTTACTTATGAACACTTAGCAAACATTGCCACTTAGAATACATTAACAAATGCTAACTGATCTAAAAGGCATGCGTGTTAATTACAAAACATCTTTCCGTTACTCACATTTCCTTTGAAGCGTGAACAAAATACGGAGGATTAAGATTACTATGATTATCGATGAATAAATTAGAAAGAAAATGATTTTGTGGTTGTATGATATTGCGATAGTTTTCATATCTAACTCTATTATATTTATTTCTTTCACTATTTTATATTATTTCTTTCGATGTTTAAAATATTAAAGTACATAGATTTCTAATTACGAGAACTATATTCTATACTAATAATTTTAATACAAAATTCTACATAAAATTTTTTGTAGTAAATCTACACATACTTTTCTATAATAAATTTTATACAGAATTTTTTATAATAAATTTTACATACAAGATTCTGCAGTAAATTCAATTTGTTGTAGTAAATTCTATATAAAATTTCCTATAATAAATTCTACATAAATTTTTTCTAATAAATTCTACACAAAAATAAAATATCTTATAGTAAATTCTACATAAATTTTCGCTAGTAAATTCAATACAAAATTTTTTGTAGTAAATTCTATATAAAATTTTCCACAGTAAATTCTACATAAATTTTCTCTAATAAATTCTACATAAAATAAAATATCTTATAGTAAATTCTACATAAATTTTCGATAGTAAACTCAATTCAAAATTTTCCACAGTAAATTCTATATAAAATTTTCCACAGTAAATTCTACATAAAACTTCCTCAGGGAAATTCCACACTAAATTGTCTTTAATAACGTTTTAATTATCGATCAAGCTAACATTTCACAGTCAGAACGTCTTTTTCTGATGGTTTATCGTCTCATTCACTGCAATTGTTTATTGTACGAGCTCCTTATACCTACAGAACAAATAAACTTATTTCCGTTCGACTTTTACTATGAAGGCCTTGAACGATTAATGTACAAGGTGTTCAGCAAAATACTGTCCACTTCTCTTCAATTAATTTTGATAATTTATCCGGTTAAAAATATTTTGAACAGAAATCAGTCAATATTTAAACTATTATACAATAAACTTCAAATTACAATATTTAAAATGGTTAAAAATGACTTTTTTCGATGAAACATTAGTATCAACCCGTTTCTGAACACCCTCTATATTATTAATAAGCGAGGTTTAATGAATTCCATCGTATAATGAGTGCCAATGCGTTCAACATTCTTGAAGAAAATGCTCTAAATACGTATAACGTTTCCCAGTTCCATAAATCTAGTATTTAATCCACTTTTTGGTTTATTTTAGAATACTCAACTCTAAAGTATATTCAAGAAAATAAAAGAAGTGTCAGAATGAGGAGAGCTTTGAACGAGATGTTATGTTATATCCAGACAGTGCGCCGGTGTTGGAGAACATATACATTTGTGACCATTGAAAATTAACCATCAGCATTCGTTCATTTTATCAGCATTCTAAACGTATTTTTAAATATTTCTGAAAATATGCATTACTTTTCTTTTAGGTTACTGTAACAGTAGCTCGTATTCAGACGCTTTCAAAAATGAACATCCTCGCTTTTATTTTAAATACATTTGTACCGAACGTTACTTTCGTTCACCTTATTCGAACTCTGTATCATGAAACAGACTTATTTTAGATATAAACTGAGACGTTACGTGTTTCACATATTTAATAGGGTTGATACGTTGTGAAACAAATATGGTAGCAAATATTCAGATCATTTCCTCTACCGTTGTCATTTTTGATCGTACAGGTTGTACTCGTGTAACCCATGTTCTTTCATGTCGTTCTTTTTGCTCAATACTGTCTACCGTTGTCATTTTTGATCGTACAGGTTGTATTCGTGTAACCCATGGGAGCGTTCTTTTTGCTCGATACTCGCAAGCAGAACGACATAACACGATAGTGTTAAGTAGTGCATACACTTCTCTATGTAAGATTATACTTCTCCAACCGTAAATTATTAAATAAATGTGGTAATTCGTATTTAGAGCAATTGTTAAGGAACTTACCCGCGAGGCTGGGTCTGGATCTCGAGGAAACCGACGGAAGTCGACATGTTCCTCCTAAAGGTACACCAGCCAATCGGTGACCACCGCACTTGCGGCAATTGCCGAACTTCCGGGTGGTTCCGCTGAGAAATTCTGGACAGGAACATACTACCAACACTGGTGCTCCCGGTGGTGGTGGTGGTGGTGGTGTCATGAATCCTCGTGGCTCGTGACCAGCCCTCGAAGATCGAACCGTACCGTACAGCCATGGATCACCATAGATCATTTGACGGGAAATCCCGCTACCGCCGCTTATCGTTCCCCACCCTTTTCCGGGATCATCGGTGCTCTGATTCTGCCGCGATAGACCCAGTCTCACACTCCACGACTTTTTTCCTTTGCTCAGTGTGTCGTAATTCTGGAACAAACATATTTTTTCATTATTTATTTATTTCTTACCAAAATAATAAATACTTTAATTAATAACACATACTTTATTAAAACTAATTTACGAATTGCAAATAAGTTACGAATGACAAAAATAATATGTACTTTAAAAAAGAAACTGTACACAGAGAGGAATTTAAAATAGGTTAACTGAATAAATCGTCTGCTATTGAAAGCAGAAGATAATGCATTAGATCAAACATATTTTGTAATGATAATATCAGTACAATTTGTTTTTTTAGTCATAACTTGCTATTTCTACTGTTTTTATAGGTGGAGACCTCAAACAGATATTTGTCCTGAAAACATGTTTTGAAAATCCTCTCAAAAATCCATTTCGATGTCATTTCATTTAACTTGGCATTTGAGTCTCGTGACGCACGTGTAGTTCAAATATGAGTCTCACTCGAATTCATAGTACTGTTCATTTTTGAATATAAGTCCAATTATAATTTGCATATTCAAGCATCTTTGAACACAAAATAAACTCGTTATGAAAAAATACAACAAAAAGTTTGTTGATCAACAAGTATTCTAATGTATAGGGTGTCGCAAAAAAATGTACTCTTTGTCAATTTAAAAATTTACGAACAAACACGAATGTGTAAACCTAAATCAATCGACTCACATCTTGTGTTAATATTTATCTTATTAGACTTACAAATATGTCAATAAACACCTTAAACAAAGTTATGTGCGTGTAGCCAGATACATTTGAACATCCAGCACATACTATTAAAAAAAATTGAATACGATTAATAAATTTTCGTTCAAATATTTCCCTTCGCCCTTGACATCCGACTCCACCCACGCCAAATTCAATAAACATTCACCAGCTATAAAAATATAAAAATTTGAGCGATTACTGGTAAAATGAAAACACGTTTTCGTTTCATAAGAACGAAATTTTTCCTCCGAGCAAACCAGTTGGCAAACGCGTGTACCGTATCACGAGATAGATTTCCTGTATCATTTGAAACGACGGTTTCTTAAAGAGCGAGTTTAAACCAGAAAAACCAGGCGATGACCAATTCAAATATTTTTCAATCCCCCTTCTTTTTACGGCTTCCTATAAATAGATATTTTTTACGATCGTGCATAGGCATGAAATTATTCTTTTCTGCGAAAGAGGAGACATGTCTTTGTCCTCCCTCGGTTTCTCTTCTCGTTTGTGGTCCAGCCCTAAAACAAGCCCGTTCTCTCGATCCTGCCAGTTTCACCAGGGGAAAACAAATTTAAAACGCGGTCTCGAACGATTCCTACCGTCATTTACTTTCCCTGAAACCTGTTGTTCTTTCCTTTTCTTTTTATCCATGTTTGTTCGTCCTTTCTTTCTTTCCCTCGGTCCCGCACTGCTCTCGTCCTTGCATTCAATGCACAAATACGCTTTCGAGGTATCGTTTTGCTTGATAATATCAGACGTGTTGTTCTGACGTTTTGCAGGGTCAGGTGTTATGTGGTCAATGTGAGAGAGATTGGGGAATTTGAAACTTGAGAACTTGGCAAATTGGGGATTTGATTTAGGTGTCGGGAGACTCGGGGATTTAGAAAATTGGAATTTTAGGAATTTGGGAATTTGGGGACTTGAGAATTTGGGGATTTGGAAATTTGGAAAGTTGAGAATTTGGGGATTTGAGAATTTGGGGACTTGAGAATTTGGAGATTTGAGAAATTTGGGGACTTGAGAATTTGGGAATTTGAGAATTTGGAAATTTGAGAATTTGGGGATTTGAGAATTTTGGGACTTGAGAATTTTGGGACTTGAGAATTTGGGGATTTGAGAATTTGGAAAGTTGAGAATTTGGGGATTTGAAAATTTAGGGATTTGAGAATTTGGGGACTTGAGAATTCGAAATCTTGAGAATTTGGAGGTTTGAGAATTTGGATATTTGAGAATTTAGAAATTTGAGAATTTGGAAACTTGAGAATTTGGAAACTTGAGAATTTGGAAATTTGAGAATTTGGAAATTTGAGAATTTGGAAATTTGGAAATTTGAGAATTTGGGGATTTCAGAATTTTGGGACTTGAGAATTTGGGGACTTGAGAATTTGGGGATTTGATAATTTGGGGATTTGAGAATTTGGAGAGTTGAGAATTTGGGGATTTGAAAATTTAGGGTTTTGAGAATTTCGAGAGTTGAGAATTTGGGGACTTGAGAATTCGAGATCTTGAGAATTTGGAGACTTGAGATTTTTTTGAAAATTGAGAGTTTAGAAGCTTGAGAATTTGTAAATTTAATAATTCGCGCATTTGACAAATTACAAATTTAAAAATTGAGATATTTAGATTTTTGAAAATGACAGAATTTGAAGATTTGAGGATTCGATCATTTCTTCTTTAGGGGATTTGCAGATTTTGGGATTTGTAACTTGAGGTATTTAGAGGTTTAGGGACTTGTACATTTCAGTATTTGAAGATTTGAAAATATAGGATCTTATGAATTGAAAAGTTTGAGAAGTTGAGGATCTGAGAACTTAGAAATATTGAATATAGGAATTTAGAAATTTACAAATTTTTACTATTGGGAATTTAGAAACTAGCAAATTATGGAATTTGAGAATTTGTAAATGCAAAAAATTGTTAAAATAAAGAAACTTGAGAAGTTTAGACAAATAAGAGTTTTGTAACGTGAAAATTTGAGACACAGCAAATTTCCAAATTTTTAACTGTGTTCATTTCTATTGTTATTTCTTAACATTAGATATGTCTGATAAATTTTTCTTAAGGTTATATAACATCGACTAATTTTGTATGTACATATGTGTACAAAATAAAAAATGTACAATTTTGTATATGATTATAACCAAAAATCTTAAATCAAAATGAATTATTATAAAAAAAATAATCACAAAGAAATTAACATTCTCTTTGTTCTTTATTTCCGTAACCCACAATCCCACTTAAAACCAGCACAAAACTCAAATTCCAGATAAGATCTCATACTCCTCCGAATAAAATATTTCACAATATATATCTTAAAATAAAAATGTATCTCACATTAACGTAAAATTAACAAGATCAAATTTATAGCCCCTGCTCTTTCTCGAGTAGCCACCATAAATGTGCTATAATATTTATGCAAACGCGGAATCGTATTCATTTAAAACTACACGAAAAACTTGTCTCGCGGAAACAACTTTTATCGGATAATCTTTATTTTTTAATTAGAACAGTAATTAGCTGGCGAGTCAATGAAACGTCGTGCTTCGTTGAATCTCTTGCGCAGGAAATTTACAAACTGCGTTTCTTCGAGTCGAAGAAACCCTTTCGGCGTCCTCATATAAGATCATGCTAAATAAATTCTCGTTGTGTCTAAACTCTGTAAATTTTATTGTTTGCACACTTTCTTTGTACAATTCTCATGTTATTATTGCCATAGGTTCTATTTCTGTATAAATATGTTGTAGATATTTTATACAAATGAAAAATCGTGATTTAATTTAAAGAATTGATTGGCATCGCCATGATTCTTTTTTTAGGAATAAGTAATTAGTGATCGAAAGTTAATTCTTTACCCTCGAAAGGTGACTCATTATTTGGTTTAAATTAACATGAAATAGGTATTTTTTAAAGATATTTAGTGTTCTGTATATGTGACGTATAAATACAGTGAAACAAACACTAGTAGAAGATAATAGCAAAGGAATAATTTTAAAAGAATTCATTAAATTTGTCAACAAAAAATTGTAAAGTTCTGTGAAACTAATAGTACAGGTAAATTTTTAACTTCTGAAATTTTCAAATTTTTAACTTATCAAATTCACAAATTTTTAATTCCTCAAAGTTCTAAATTTACAATTTCTCAAAATTAAAAATTACTATTTTTTTAAGTTTCCAAACTCCCAAAGTTACAACTCTAATCTCTACAATTTTTAAATTTCTAGTACTTAAAATATTCGAATTTACAAAGTAGTAATTTTTCTAATTCACAAATTTCTAAGTTCTTAAATTTCTAAATTCATTTGTTTCAAATATTCAAGCTTCTTATTTTTCCAATTTTCCAATTTTTAAGTTCCTAAATTTATAAATTGACAGAACAACTTTAAACAGATAACTCTAAAATTTTATTGACAAAGTAAACTCTTTCTAAGTTGAAAAATTGAGAAATCGAGAAATTAGGAGAAATTTGAGAAACTTCTCAAATATCTAAATCTCCAATTTCTCAACTTAAAAAGAATTTATTTTATCAACAAAAAAATTCAGTTATCTATTCAGAGTCGTTCTGGAAAACTAGTAATAGAGAAACAACTTCAAAAGAATTCATTTTCTCAACAAACTTCAAGGTTGTAATTTACCAACATCAAAAATACTTTGTACAAAGGATAAAAAAGCTCCGAATTGTTTTGTTTTTGCAAACGAAAGTATTATTTTCGAGCGCCATATTCGACCTCAAGTTAACATCAACATTTGGAGTCGTGTTACGGATACGTGCAACTCATCGAGAATTCCGTTTGCTAAAAGAGGATATCCTGTCGAAAACGAAAGCTCCACGTACACATTCTCCTTTCCGAACGATAATAACAAGCAGGTAATTATTCGCAACAAGTACTTGCACTGAATATTAACGATACCGCTAAATAAAAGATTCAGAATCTTATTTACAACGTTGAGTGCTTAATGCGGCGGTTCTTAATCGGTGTTTTGTGGAACGCTAGTGTTTCGAAGTTCATTACAAGTGTTCCACAATTATTCAATTCTGACGAGCCAGTTTACTCCGCCATTTTAATCGTGTCTTTGTAAATGTACGCATAATATAATATCTCTTTTATTGTTTGGTTTTTATGCTGTGTGATTTGATTTATGGTACTTGATCAAGGCGTTTATGCAAATTTTTATTATTACGCGGTGACCTTGCTTGTGGTTTATCGGACTTTTATGGGAAGATCCACTTTTCAAGACGGAAATCGAGACAAAGTTTTGTCTATAAAGTTTGAAAATTTCAATTAAAATTATAATTTTTTAATTGTGGG